AACTGTTAAATCTGGCACTAGAAGTTAGTTCTAAAAGGGACAAATGCACTTAAGACCTAGTGCAGTATGAAGGTGAGGTACAAATACAGAAGATGAGGTAGCTTTGTTCCCTGTCTTAACCTGAGGACCATGGTTAGTATACTATGGGACAATAAATAGCATCATGTAGACTCATACATGCTCATTGGAAGGTCTCAGTCATTAGGGGTCCCACGCAAACAAATTCTACAAAACACAATCTCTCACATTTCAAACTGGTTGTTTTATATCTCTACATCAGAAAGTGCATTTTAGCAAATTTTAAATTAGGAGGAAAGGGAATTTTCCCCTATTTTCTTTGGAGACAACATTGGATTGCAAATGATTTTATCTTTGAAGTCCGATTTAGAATGTAATAATGTACAACCCAATGTTTTACACTGACTGGTGTGAAGTAGGGGAAAATTCAGACAGGAATTAGGAGGACAGAGTACTTATTAGCTGAAAAGCAGATGGTAGCCAGCTGGAGAATAATCAGAATAATCTTGCATAGCTTTGTCTTTTTACTGGTCTGAAAGGACAGCTCCAGAAAGACACTCTTAAAAAACCAAAGACTCTTACTGTTGAGGTCAGTTCAGATGGAAGGGCTATTAATAACTTTTGGGGATCTGAGTGGGGTGGGAGAGAGAGATGTTCTACATTCTGGGAAACCTCATACCAATCTCTTCTTCAGACATAGATCTTCAAGAAACCCTGCATCGTCTGACTGCACAGTCAGGCTCAACACTCATACTATGCCCTTGCACTGTTTGCTTTGTTCCACTTTTCCTTAAATACACTCATTTTTCTCATTTGACTAATTACCTGTAGGAGGAAGCAGATAACTTTTCTGTTTACACAAAAAGAACCATGGAACTGGAGACCCTCTGCACATGTCGATAACAAGCTAAACAAAAGATGTTTGCTACCTAATCTAGGGGATAAAGACTAACTTTTTGGTGGCAAAGCACAGTCTTTTTCCAATGCCAATGGTTTGAATAAAATCTGGGAAGTTTTACACCTGGAAATACATTAACCATTTTTTTTTACTTGTGGGATTTTTTAAAATATTGTGGTTATTCAATCTGTTTCTCAATGTTCAAACTGAAACAATATAGTGAAGGTTTATCGATCTAATTAAAGACTTTCATAAGTCGGTTTTTGCATTGTGTGATTTATTTAATGTACCTGCATCCATCCTCACTTGTATGTAGATGGAGATACAATAAACAATAAACAAAATGCACAATCTTTCCATAGAATCACCACATCATGAATACAGTATTAGTATCCTCTGCATTGTTTTGCATGACCATAAACAATGAATGGCCACTGAGTGAAGAACTGACATGATCTATAAAGTACATATCATCTTCAGTTCTTCAGCTCTGTTATTAGCTTTCCCATTTTCTGGTAGGGATATAATCTTCTATGAAAGGAGGAATACGTCACATATTTATCTGTATAGAGTGCCATTTTAGAAAAGAATACTTGCTAGATGAGCTGACTAACTGCACATCTGGGATGTGAATCTCTGTGGATTTAAAGTACCTCACAGATGAGCACCATGCTGGTTATCATACTTCAGCTTTACCAGCTGGTAAATGCTTTTCCCCATTGCCAAGGCCATCAGGACTTTAGTCAGCAGCAACAGCGTTAGCCACAGCAAACTTCCTTGCTACATTTCCTGGACAGCAAGAGATACCAGGAGCTATAACAGGACTCTGCAGATCTGAATTTGCAGTATCAGTCACAAGTGCTGCCTCACACAAGTATATAGATTTAGAGTGGACCAAAGGGACAGCGTTTTGGTTTGCAGGTACTATAAAGACCACCTGCCCTTGTATATGAAGTTCTGTGCGGAGCAGCACTCTGTGTTCCCTTGGTGCATTAAAAAACTAATGCTTGCAGAGTTCAAGCCTGAGGCAACAAATGTCAACAATTTTGTGTCCTTACTCCAGGTATTGATTTGCACAAACCTCTCCTTATACAGTTATATTTATAGCCAGACATGTTTTACATATATAATAATATATAATTATCTCTATATTGTATATATTCTATAGATACATTATTACATGTATGTATGCCTGTGTGGCCACAACAATACAGAAAAAAATTATCTCTGCAGCTATGCCATCCCCAAGAGGTAAAAGCAAAGCACATCTCACAGGCCTTATGCTGCAGCCACCTTTGTTGAATTTGCTGTGTTATACAATCTCTAACGATTGCTGCATTGTGTCTAACTTCTAGAAAAAATTTGTGTAACCAAATAGAGCTCATGTTGCTGAAACTTGCCTATTGCTTCAGTCATTGACAATGAAATTAGGCTGTAGCCATTCACTACATCTGTCAAAATGCCTGAGATAAATCTTAAATACTTGCCAGTTGACTGAGGACACTTCTGTTTGCATCTATAATGTTCATTACCCCGTACTTCTATCTTGTGGAGGAAGAACATTCATATTATCACAGTCATCAGACAAACTGACATTAATAAGGACTACTGCTTGAAGTCTTAGGAGAGATATCACAAATTCAACAGTCCTTAGACTATAATCTAGTTCTCATTCTGGAGATGGTCTGTTTGAGGAGAGATTCAAGAGATAAAAACAAAACAGAGAGGTAGGCTGACACTGGTGTTCTTCAAGCTGTACCTCTTTTGTGGATAGCCACCAGACTCTAAGCCTCCTGAAGTCAGCAAGAGTCCCTCTACTATCTCCAGCAGAATTTGAATACTACCCAAGGACATGTCAGTGGTGAAGGCTGACAATCCAACAAGCTTGCTAATCACTCATTTATATTTAGAAGGCTTTAAACCCAGAAGACACTCATTTTAAAGCTTTTAATTCTAAAAACGATACTAAAATAAAGCAGAACAGTTAAAACTAAAGTACTGCTACAGATTAACATATAACAAAGCACATGCTTTCACATTCACATTTGATAAAAGACCCTATGATAGGCACCTTTCTAATAAAAATGTAAAAAATGCTAACTCATTAAAAGGATAATATAAAACTATATTATAAATCATGCAGCACTATAATAGAGCAGAGAGTTTCACAACATCTAAGTAGCATTTGGATAAAGGAAATGATTGTATTAAAGGACATCTCTGACCTCTGGATAACTCAAAGATTTATTTTGTTAAGATTACAAATAAGGTAACTGTACTGTACCATGTACTAATATCAAATAAAAAAAAAGAATAGAGAAAAGGATCTTTTAAGTATAGAAAAAAATGTGAAACCATTAAAAATTTAAATTTCTAAAAATTTGACTGGACTCTGTGTTGGGATCTCATGTGACAAGATCAGCTATGTGTATGTCCCTTGCTAAGATTCTGGTCCCATTCAAGTGACAATACTCCCACGGACTTCTGAGACAGAATGTTCTGTATTTTTTTGTGTATTTCAAATAAGACTTCCATAATTCACAAGGATTTAGCTTTCTACCTCTATTAGGCATCTCTGAGAAATCTAACATTACCACTGCATCTACTTCCCACAGAAGCTGAAGAAGCACTGTAGTATGACTCTCCTATTACTATCACACAGCAAATATTCAGCATTGAAAGTATGCTAGCTACATTGGGAACATGGACAACTAGGCAGCTGCTTGTTTCAGCTACACAAATTTATACCAGAAAAAAATGCATCTACATGTGTGGTTTTGTACTTGTACCTAGGACTGGGGACAGACTGGAAGGTAAGGGAGCAAGATAAGGAGTAAATGGTGCTATGTTCTTCCTTTTCACCTCCTTCCAGTTAGCTTTGGTCAGTCCAGTTCATATTATGGTGGAACTGCTGTGACTTTTGGTATCCTTCCTTCCTCTATTTCATGTGTCTAATCCTGTTAGACTGTTTGTTAAGCAGTTCAACAGGAACTGGCTAAACTCTTCAAAATAGATTAGCTCTGAAAGGTAATTTATTGCCATAAATAAAACCCTAAGAAGTATAAATAAGGTTCACTGTACATATGCTTTGTCTTTAAAGAAAATCAACACCAGCAATGCTTACAGAACCATACTTGACAACAGATAACTCCACTTGTAGTGATGGGTCTCTCTTTACAGGAAATGCTTGCTCAGGAATGACATTTTCTAAACTGTATCCTAAATTACACAGTGACTCAGAGGGCTGGCTGATTTCACAGTCAGACAGCTAGCCAGCAATAGTAGGTTCACCACCACTTTAGTCAAAGCAATTCCATAATATAAGCTAACATTAAGAGCAGTTTTTCAGAGAAATCCCAGAGCTGCTAAAGACAAGAGCAGCTGTAATGGACTCTCTTCTGTTTAACAACAGCATACAATGTCTTTCATTTCTTTTCCAAGATTTTCGACCTTTGTACCAAGATGGCAGGTATCACTAAGTGTTGACTCTATGGAAATACCCTGGATTTTCTTCTTAATTCTTCTTTCAGTGCTCCAGACAATGAAGATGAAACGGAAGCAGGAGCACAGATTCTCATTTCAGTTTATATCAACTATGATTGCACTGCTTCATCCTCCTCTTTCAGTGGGCCTTGCTTTTTAACACAATACACAACTCATTTTTCCTTTTCACAGAACAAAACCAATCACACCCACAAGGTTTATCATACCACTAAATAGCAACACTACACTGTCTCCTTCTTTGCTGTGGGAGCAACTCACAGGCTGAAATATCCAGGCACCTGGTTCTGAAGTGGTGGAGGCTGCTGGCAGGGCACTACCCAGCAAAACCAAATCTGCAAGTAACACGGGGAGCTACCTTCTGCCCTAGTAGCTGGTGTGCCAATGTTATGTATCATTGCTGAAGGTGAGTTTTTGCTTTTTTGTATCTTTCCTGCTACTGGTGGGAGAGATACCTGTGAATAAAGTCTGAGCTAACACATCCCCAAGGCCAAAGGGGCATAGCATCTCTTTTCTTACTTTCTAATTTAGGAGGATGACCTAACAGACTGAAAGCAGGATGGATGCTGGAGTTGGTGAGTGGCTAGTAAGGAGGACTTGAGAGAGGATCATTGGGAAGGACACCTGGTATCAAACTAAATGAAGCTCTTTTGGGGTCTTGAAGAGTGACAGAAGTGCTGGTGACTGCCTTCTGGGTGGCAGAGGTTTTCTTACCTTCAAGCCAGTATGTTACCATGTCTCCTTTCCCCTAAGGAAGAAAATGAGTCACAGGGTTAAAATACTACCCATAATTTGTTTAATAACCTTCTTATTACAACTCAGAGCTAGTCCCAAAAGGACACTGATGTGCCTGTCAGCCATTCTACATACAGGACAACTGAGGTATAAAACTTTTCCTTAAAAGATAGCAGCAGCACTATTGATTAAAACAATGCTTTGAAGTCCCATCCAAAACTGGGCCCAGAAGCATGTTAGTCCTCTTATGGAACTCTTATGATGATTTCTGATGTCTCTGAATGACCTTTTTTGATTTCAAGCAGTTCTGACAAAGTGACATGCCACACAGTAGTTCCAAGTTTGGCTAAGTCCTTCATCTCTGAATTATCAGGGTTGTCCCATGAACAAGCCCATGGAATTTGTCCTGGTTTAAAACTTGAGCCTGCTCTCTTCAGGGACAGGAAATAGACTAACCCAAGGACTCTGAGACATAGAGGACTGCATGGGTTAAAACTGAGGGACTCCAGAGTACTTTCACACTCTCCTCTCTGAAAAGCTGAGTATAAATGTTGCATACACACCTTGACTTGTAAATTCCCTCGGCATACTAACACATACTCTCCAATCTGCTCCAACAGCTGGTATGCACTTGAACTGCACTGTATTTTAAGAGCTGGAAAGAGAGACAATTGTCATTTTATCATAATAATTTAAACATCTAATCTAAGACATAATCTAAGACAGACCCATCTGCCTCTGTGTCTCAAAGACTTCAAGACTCATTAATGAATGCCGCTTCATGTTTTTCATGTCTTTGCTTTCATTCCTCTGTTATTTGAAATGTTCACAGACAAGCTCCAGTATCCCGGCCTCTTTGTGAGAGCATCTCAGGACAAATATGTGGCTGTCAACAAACACTACTCTTCACATCCTGCATCTAATATTATTTGTCTACTCTTCATACCTGCCTGGCTGGAGTTACTGACGAGCACCCTTTTCATCTTGCAAAGAAAACCATACATGGTTCTACCTCATGGTCAATAAGGAGCCAGAGCTTTCTTTGCACATACAGTTCTCAGCAAAGTCTAAACATTAAAAAAACTGGCATCCTTGCTCTGCCTCCAAACCTGTAAACAAAAACAGGGGGACAAAACCCTCTCTGACAAAACCAGACAATATTAGCATAATTCTACTATCTTTTTTTCTTACACAATGTGATTTTTCCTCTGTTAAGAATTTATCTTCCTGTAAACACTGGCTGTCTTGCCTTCTGCAAATGATGGAGGAAGGACCAAGGAGGAGGACAGATAGATAGAATAAATTCTGAATACTCCTACTTTTGTCCAAAAGGAAAATCTTGCCAAAACCTGGAAAATTACCAAAATATCCTGAGGGATTTTTTGCCTTTATCATTCTGCGACACAGAGTAAATCATTATGCTTCTTTGTTTGAAAAAGATCCCAGATGACAGTAGGGCTGGCTAAGATTGTCCTATTGATTTTTCTTATATCAAAAAATGATGGGTTTGTAGGTCCACTTTTTCTTTTTAAAATGTTTTTTATTGAAAGTCTCAAAATATTCCCTGTAGACCAGGAAATATATGTTTCAACATATCCAGATACATATCTCTGAAATAGTCTTTCCAGTAGATACATGATATTTTAACTGGTAATCCTGCTTGGGAACAAGACACTGGCACTCAGATTCCAGCTGATAGCAATTTTAATTTACATGACTAGTAATTAATTAACCTATTTTAAAGTGATCATCTTAGGGTTAAAGTATGTTAATGTAATTTGAGATCCTCAAATGTACTGGCTGGAAAAAGAGGGAGATAAAAGAAAAGCTTAAAAGATAAGAAGCTCTGTCTATATACTTAAGTTCATAGTGTTGATGTGCCATATAAGAAATAGACTGACATACAGAGCAAAAGATGAAATATGAGGAATGACGAAAGCAGATTTTGAAGGCATTAGTTTTAAAGCAGTTCAGATGAGATGATAGAAGGAGCCTGAAAGGAGGAGATGGAGAAGGAAAAGAGTTATCTGGGAGACTGACAGAAGGAAAATAAATTTATATGTGTTCCACTCAGGCTAGTATTTGCTTTGGAAAAATGTATAAAATAGTGAGAAGGAATGGATCATGGTTGATTCTCAAATTCCCAGGCTAAACCTTCAAAGCCATAATGTAAAACCACTCCTCTGCCTTTCTGCCTTACTTTTAGTGGGCCATAATAGATTTTGAAAGCATCACTTTTTATGATGAAATTAAACTTGAAAACACCTTGGATTTTGCCTAATTCAAATCCATTTACAAAGCATTGCAACATGTGCCATAAAACTATTCAGCTTCATTTCATGAATGAAAGAAACAAAAACAAGCCACCAAGGTTGTTTGACCTTGAATCACTCCCTCATTCTTCTTTTTTTTTTCTTTTCCAGTTCTTGTAGATCGGGCTAAAATATTTCAGAAGTTGAGGTTCAAATGCTCATACTGGCTAAAGACGAAGCTTGTTAACAAAACATGGAGCTCTTATGTCCTGGGAAGAAGTGACAGTGAGGATATCTCCACTATTTAATCATTAGAGATTCCTGCGTAATCTCTTTGCTGGAGGACATATATATATAATCTTCTATACTGGTTAAAGACAGACACAGCTCCCATGGTGTCCTACCATCTCTAGTGTTCTCCATTACAGGAAGTTATCAGTGAAAGAGAGGAGTTATGAAAATATTTTTACTATAAATTCAGCTGGGTGGCAGGAAGGAATAGAAATAGCTAATATATCCACTTACCTCTCATTTTATCTGATTCTTACCTTTTTTAATTATAGAGAACCTCAAAGCCATGAAAATTCCTCTCTGAGACTTGGGGAATGAGGGGATCTTGTTACAAAGGTTGTAGAGAATATCACTGGCATAATTTGCCCATAGGCAGATTGGACCCAGAAATCAACACCCTTCTTACGGGACTTGCAGTCATTTGAACAGGACAGGACTCAAAACTCAGCATAGCATTTTTTTCAGAATTCATTAAGGGATGGTCAAAACCACATCTACAGTTTGTTCCTTGTTACCTTCACTGGTAGATTCCATCCTGGAAGCTGTGTTCACAGTATCTCCAAATAAACAATACCGTGGCATTTTGGTCCCAACCACTCCAGCTACAACTGCTCCTGTTAAAGAAAAGAAAACAATATATTTTGTGGTTTTAAATCACATAATCAGTCATACAACCTCATGGCTGCTTCCTACCTTACTTTATATCTCATTCATTAACAAGATAAAGACTGAGTATCAGTATGGTCTTATATGGATTATACATCTGACTTACAGATGGCTTCCGGAGCCATGGAGGGAATTGCAAAAGGGCATCAGAGGAGAATGGTGGGGGAAGTGATGATGGGATGGAGGTAGTGTGCAGGAGTTAAGGCACCTGCAGAATCATGTTTCAACACAACAACAGAATATTTTGAGGGGCAGTGAGATAGGAATGCTGCAAACAGGAGTTGTGCACACAACACTTAGTAATGACATGGAAAAGCAGGATGTGCTGGTTTTGGCAGGTTAGAGTTAATTTTTTCCATAGCAGCTGGTATGAGGCTATGTTTTGGATTTGTGCTGGAAACAGTGTTGATAATACAGGGATGTTTTTCATTGCAGAGCAGTGCTTACACAGAGTTGAGGCCTCTTCTGCTTCTCTCCCCACCCCACCAGCAAGTAGGCTGAGGGTGCACAAGAAGTTGGGAGGGGACACAGCTGGGACAGCTGACCCCAACTGACCATATGATGTCATGCTCAGCATATAAAGCTGGGGGAAGAAGGAAGGGAGGGGGGACATTCAAAGTTATGGTGTTTGTCTTCCCAAGTAACTGTTAAGCATGATGGAGCCCTGCTTTCCTGGAAATGGCTGGACACCTGCCTGCCAATGGGAAGTGGTGAAATAATTCCTTGGTTTGCTTTGTTTGCATGCATGGCTTTTGCTTTACCTGTTAAAGTGTCTTTACCTCAACCCACAAGTTTTCTCACTTTTACCCTTTCAATTCTCTCCCCTTCCTGATGTGGGGGGAACCAGTGGCTGTGCAGTGCTTAGTTGCTGGCTGGGATAAAACACAACACAGGAACAGGAAGTAACCTGCTCCTGCTGAAGGCAGAAAATGACTATTTTGATTCCCTCATGTCAGCCCCAGGGGAATTAAAATACAGAAGGTATGAGCTCTTGCTGAGACAATGTAAGCTGCTTAGTTTGCTGATTCTGGGCTGCACAGCACATGCCTAACTTTGGCTGGCTGTCAAGAAGAAGTTGCAATCACACATCAGCTTAGATCAGGGAGCTAGGAGTCTGAGATTGAAGGTTAGATCAAAAAGTCAAGAAGCAACTCATTATTTTGCAAAGAGAACAGCTGAAAAGGACAATTAACAGATACAGAATGGCAGTCCTCACGCACATCAGCAAAGGTACTGGGGTCATGTGATGTTTCCAATGTTGTATTCTGCATTGTGTTCCAAATATTCCAGGTATCCAATAATTTATTCTGTTGGGATGACCTCTATCAGGTCCCATGTCAAGAAATTAACTTCACTTTTAATGGAGAGGAAATGCCTATAGAAACATTTGTTAAACCAGAGAAGGACTCTTTTGCAGCCCTCAACATACCTGAATGGATTCCTGCTCTTATCTTTAGGAGCGTGTTGGGCTTATGTGGGATCTTAAAAGTCTTGCAGATGTCCAGAAGGTCTAAAGCCATGCTTGCGATCTCACCGGCATGAAGAATCCCATTCTCTTTGGGTACTCCCGACACCACCATATCTTAACACAACAATGCAACTGTGTTAACCTGTGGCATTACACACAGATTTACCAAAGGATGCTGCCTAAGTTAGAAAAAAGTAAAGCCCTATTCCATCTTATCCTGTGGCGCAATTTGAGCTGAGAAAGCCAGAAACGAATGAAGGATAGGGCTAAGGCTCATGCGTGTAGTTACGCTAACTATGAAAAATGTTGGATTTCCTGCTTACGTTTCCATAAGATTTATTCCTTCCTACCCTTTCTTCCTCCCTCCCTTCACTGAGGATGCTTGAAGTGGGACAGGTAGTGGCAAAGTGGCGGTTCAATACCTTTTGTCTTTGGGCAGATATTATAAAGAGAGACAATGATTCCTACTAGGCATTGTCTTATGCTTTCTGCACTGACTCTTACTGTGTAGGACAAAAGACTGGTCCCTTCAGGATCCCTCAGGTGCATTTGTTCAGGAATTTTATGCTCCAGAATGTGCTCAACCACTCCACAGAATAAAAAAAGGTGGGTTTTCTTTTCCACATCTCTTACAGGATTTCCTCTCTGTCTCATGCAAAAAACCTGCTAGATTCTGCTAGGTGTTTGATGGAACTTAGTTTTAATGGTAGTCAATCCCTAACAGATTCCCGTGGTAGCAAATAGAAAGCCATTTTCCTAAAAATCCAAAAAGAAGAGGCAGAGAAGCTCCTACAGAGTATTAGGAGAGAGAAGGTTGTCATGGTCTTTACAAAAAAGAGAGAGATAATAAAGCTTATGGAATGGCACCTATGCTCCCATACAGAAGGTAAATTTTTAAGTTGTGTTCCTGTGAAACAGAAGTTGTCAACCGGGATTAATCTGTTGCCAAGGTTTAAAGTCAGACCTTATGAGACGTAGGAACTAAATAAACAGCAGCAGTAGTTTACTCAACTCATTTGTCCCATCCACAACATTCATCAATTGTAGAAATGATGAAAGGTATGCAGGAAAATGTTCCTAAAGTTTGCTAGGGCTCTGCTGGAACTTCTCCCCTATTTGTTTTTTGTGGTCTTCCCAGTGGTAATAAGATTTCCAATTCTCCTTCATCTGTTCTTCCTTGCCACCAAGTCAGTACCTATCCTGGTGAAATACCCATGACCCATCATTGTCCACAGCTCGAGGAACTTACAGGCATCTCCTATTGTCTCCACCTTATAGACATCATAGTTATCTATGATTTCATCAAAAGTGGTATAAAGCTTGTTCAAGAGATCTACCACTTGGTAAGGTGTGCTGCTGCTGGACAGCTGAGTGAAGCCAACAATGTCGCTGTTAAAACACAACAAAAAGAACATACTCATCCACTGTCTTGACCATTGCAGATTGGTAAACCTAAACACATAGTAATAATTTCTCAGTGGAACTACCTCAACCCTCTCTTTTTCAGTATTTCTTTCACAAAGGATCTTACAGAATAGTTTTGTCTTCAAACATTTACTTAAACTGAAAACAGACTCCTTCCACTTAAAAGGACTGTCTGACTTAAGTCTTTTTGCTTACCAATGCAGTAAACCATTTTTTACAGCTAGACTTTAATCTGCAACAGACTAAGTACTCTTCAGGTTTGGGTTATGTACAAATGAAAAAAAGGGAACTTAATATCTGTCCATTTATGACAAGTGAAGATATGCAATTTGTATGTTGCTTCATGCACACATAACAAGTCAAAGACTGTAAAGCCATGTGGATTCTAAGGATAGACAAGTTTCCTTTACACAGCTAAATGCTGGAACCTTTAGTTAGGCCTATCTTATGAAACACACATGCATGTGTGTGTAACACACATAAAGTGACATGTTGCTGTGTGTTAGAGCTCCACAGTAATCTCATTTTTTATTTAAGTAATTGTAATGAAAAATGGAGACGTGTGCAAATTTTGAAAGGCACTCATTTGCAGAGTCAAATGTTGCCACCTGGTACAATAAATGACAGTTTAGATAGAAACTCTGCACTCAGTTAGGAGCTTCATCTCCACTAGGAGCCTAGAAGTTTCTTCAGTAGGAGTCAGTTCTAGTCCTATCTTTCATTTTTGTTTACCTGAAAAAGATGGTGGCACTTAAGTAACTTTGTGCTTGTGCATGTTTTCCCTGCCTGAGATCATCTGCTACTTGCTTCGGCAACATACCTATTGTAGAAAGTAGAGCCTTGTTACTCTTTTGACATGGATAAAAGCAGACAATAAACAGAACATGTTTGTTTAAAGGTATAAAAGCAATGTTCATAAATGTGAAATATTCCGAAGGTGAAAGCAGTCTTTAGCATCAAAATCTGCTCTGCTGTAATGTGAGAATTCACAGTAAATCTCACTGATAACAAGTCCAGATTTTTCAGATGACCCATAACTTTTAGTTCAAACTGACCAGGATCCATACATTCCAAGTCAGAGTAAGGTTAGATTCTAATAGTGTGACTTGTGATATTACTAACTCTTTCTTTGTCAACTCTTTGCTAGTGTTTTCTTCCTGTGTTAGGTTTGTTTACTATGTCTTCTCTGATTTTTTTGATCTTCTTTCTTTCTCCTATTTTGCACTTTCACAGCCTTTTCCTTTTTCTGCCCTCTGTGCTATACTTGTTCCTTTATCCTTTTTTTTGTGGAATTCCAGAAGATACACTGCCATCAAAAGTAACCTCAGTCCGAAAGCAATTCCCCATTTTTTATAACTATACAGAAGGATTGCCAAGCAAGATCAAAGTGAGAGCACTATGGATTCTGGAGTCATAGCTCTCAGAGGAGTGCACTGATTTTTAGGGGAAAAATATAAAAAGTAGCTAAATATCTTTCCAGCTTTGCAAGGAACAAGTATATTAATTCATTGCTAACTAAATGTTATCTATTAAATAATCAACTATCAAAGGGTTTCTGTTTGTAATTAGACAGTTAAAATCAGATTATTATTATTGAGAAGAATATGCAGTATTTTTGCTGTATGACTCACTATATAACAGACGATCAGTCTTCTGTTTTTCGTGCATTAAATCCTGGGTTCTCTCAGAAACCAATATCTCCAGATGTTTGCTGTATTTCTCCATCTAAATAACATTGACAATTGCATAAAATAATCTGTTTACTGAAACAGATTCATAGTTGGATAGGATTTAAGCATTTGAATGATTCTGTTTTGAAAACATTCAGATAAGCAAAGGCTCAGGTCTGAGATGATAGCTAATTTTTTCTTACAAAATTCAAAGATCAGATTTCTCTCTAGGTAAATTTATGATTCTGGATTTGAGATTGTTGCTTACACGTAAGAGGGCAGAAGCCAATTCCAGACTTTTCAAAGTCTGTGTAAATATTAGGGGTCAAATCCAATGCAGAGACCAAGCTGCAGACATGGATTAAAATATTTTACCAAAACAAAATGTATCTAAGTCTCAATCTTCTGTCAAAGACTCACAATGCTGTTTTGTAGACTATCCTGCTATGCTATACTATGCTTTTTACATCCTTGCTCTGTGTGAGACAACAGGCTGTGGAGGCAGGAGTCTTTTTTTTCTGCTGATGGGCTTAAGATACTCTGCTCAAAATGCATCTGTAAACATGCTATTTGTGGCTTGCAGGGATTCTATGCCCCCAGTACTGTAAGACCACCACCAAGCCACTGGAAAAGGGGAATCTAGTTTCCTGCAAGTACATTAAAAACCAAATATTTCACTGAAGAAACAAAAGTGTTCAGCCCCAAAGAAGCTGAGAAATTTAAGAAAAACTGACAGAAATTGAATGAGAAGGAAAGCTGGGTCTCAAGCAGAACTGCAGCTACAATCACCCCACCAGAGGTGAGTGAATGACTGGATTTCATCATCAAACAAGGGGTACGAGATCAGAAAACAAACCTGAAGGATAGAGGTGAAAGTTACTGCAGGTGAGCAGATTGACTTAGAATTGATTAAAAAACTAAAATTACCAGAGTCATCATCATGTCAACAGGGCTAACTTTATTAGGATTCATCTTGTACAACATTTTCTTGACTTGTTCAAATGTAGGCCTTTGGGCTGGATTATTTTTTCTGCACCTTCTGATTAACTGCAGCAGGGAAAGAGAGTGAGAAAAGCAAACAGCCTTTTGTCATTCCAAGCACAGGCAGTGTTTCTAATTAATACTACTATTTTCTTGATGCAAACTGTGGATAGGAAGCCCTATTTGCAGCTGGTAATAAGTGGCAGAGCTATACTGAGGTCTCTGGAATTCTACAGATTTATGCTGAATGAAGAATGTTAGTTCACAAAAATGCTGCTGCGGGAAATCATGAATTAGATGCTTATGTTCCTTCTGCCAAACACTGCTTAAGCTCTTGTCTTGTGCTTTAATTCAGTGTTATGCTGTTGGAGTCACATAGTGTTTTCAGAGGACTTGTCTGTACACAAAATTCACAAAAGATTAAAAACTCAACTACTTAAGAATGTTAATTCCTGACTAAAATACAGTCCTGCTTATGAGAAGTTTGTTACATTTATGTTGCTACAAACCACCAAAGGTGAGTTATATAGCTCTTAAGCTGAAACAAGGATGCTGCAATCTTGTTCGGATTTAATTGAACTGGGAGGTGGTGTACTTTTTTTTATTAGGCCGTTTGAGGCTACTGAACACATAGACCTTTTGCATGACAATCAAACCAAACTCATACTTTGCCTGAACACATACTTCACTATTTGAAAGTCCTTTGCCAGCAAGCTAAATAGACATTACTACTATAAAATATGTATAGAACTCAACACTTTATAATAAAATGAAAATGCACAAAAATCAATGATTGAATATTAAAAATGTCATTTATTACACTGACAATTTAAGGGGACAACTGAAACTTTCAATTTGTCAGAAAGACAGTTTTTTTATTAAGGGCATTAAAGCATTTCATTATGCCTTGTTTGAGATGTACTTTTGGACTTCTGGGTTGTTTACATTCATCAAAGGTAGTATTGCCATAAAACTTCTGTGACATGTCTTAAATTCACTTTAATAAAGAATTTTTGTACACAATGTTGTATCTTACTCACCTCTACGTAGTCTGTGGGACATGGGCAAGAATTCTCAGCCGTTCCTGAAATTAATTCTGCCAAAGGTGGGCACCAAGAATATTCAGCTGAATGCGCATCATCTTTCTAGAGAAAAAGTGATTAAACAATGTTGAAACAAGTGGTGTGGTTTTCATACCATCCATTGAAATATATTACTATAATCATCATTACTTTTATGATGTCCTCCCTATCATGTCCAGATCAGCTTTTTTACCTGAGTACAAGGAAAAAAAAAAAAAAGTATATAACCCAGTCTAAACTGGGTGGCCTTGTCGAAAAGCTTTTTAATGGCTGAAAGAGTTTAATCTGAGTGTTTATATGAGGTAAACAACTTTTGAAACAAATTAATAGCTGGCAAGATATTGGGAAACTTTTGAGAAACCACAAGGCCTACATTGGTCTATTATCACAAATGGTCAGAAATGGAAGAATGGCAGTTTCAGGTCTTCGTTGTTAGAATTCTTGTTCAGAAAATTATTTCAGGCAGAACATTGCTACATATTCAGAACATCTGGTTTCAATGTCAAGGTGCATTTTTTTGTGTTTGCCATTTAGCACTGACAAGACGTGCAAAGAAGACATTTTCCTTATGGAGAGCAGCTCATTTGCTCTTCTAGCATATTCTTACCACTGCAAGACTCCACTGAAAGGGCCTGTGCATGGCAGGAAAGGGAAGGAACAACAGGAGAAACGGGAAGATGTTATGGCATATCTTCCCCCTCCACCCCCCTGCCATTAAGCCTCACAGAGCTAAGCAAAATGCAATTTTGGAGCTACATTATTTTTGTCATACACTCTTCTTCAAAGTCCTGAAGGGAAGTCTGGTAGATGCATGAGGAAGCCCTGATTGCATGTTCCATTGGAACTGAACTTGCACCCACAAAATCAAAAGGAAAATGCATGCTCAAAAAATAAATCAAAGGTGCAGTTACTCAGAGTTTGGTTTGTATCTTTAGCAGAAACAGAATCAAAGTTGTCATGCAAACTTCAAAGTTAATTTTTACTTACTGGCATAGGGTCACTTCTTGTGGCAATTTCTAGTAGAATGATGGCATAACTGCAGAATAAAAGCAAACCAAAATCTTAATGAAATAACAGTTAATGGAGTCACTGATTTTTTCTTTCCATGATTTCTTATTCTTCCCTATTTTGTGACTGAAAGCTCAGTATCCCAAAAGGAAGGAAGGCAACAGTGCTGCTTTTACTACTCTGTGCTTTCAGAGATCTGTCACTGATCATTTCATAGCAGCCTCCTCTCACAGTTATCAGTCTCAGAGATGAAGCTTTTGAGTTTGATGAGCAAAGCAATTTTCTCTGGAAGAATTGATGGAATCCAGAGGGGATATGTGCAGGGACTTACATGATACCTACCAATTAAACATATAGGGCAGGTTTGTGCTGTAATCAATGGGTGGAAGTAGGTTCATCAGCTGGAGGAGTGGCTTCTTTTCTGCATAGATCACTGTTCTGGAAAATCTCCATAAAGTCAATGATGAGACAGAGTAGATCTTTTACAGTAAGCATTTTTGCTCATTCTTTCTGAATTTTATTTTCATCATCACCATCTTCTGTAGATGAACCAAGGTCAAACACATTCATCAAGGGCAAAGCATGGAAAAAATGGGGTAACAACTGGGTATTCAGTCTCCTTATTGAGCTCACTAGAGATCTTTTAGAACAGTGATGTCTAAGAAGCCAGCACCTCCTCCAGCCAGCAATCCTGATAAAGATGCTCTTGCCTCTTTATGTATTGAAACTGTGTAATAATTAACTCCCTGCATGCATCTCTACTTGATAACATTTATTTTAATGGGGAATACTGGTTTGCAATCTGTTGTATTGCTAATGGTTGCTCTGTTCTGTAAGGCATTCTAGGTGTATAATGGGTTATGTCTGTCTATCATTCAGTCCACTTGTGGACCACCACTAGCAAATAGAATAATGCATACAAAACATGCTGAACAATGCAGAAATTAATCTGATTAGATTTTTATGTTAATTTGGGGTTGATTTGGTAGTAGAAAGGAATACCAATCCTGGTGAGAGAGCAAAGCTGAAACAGATTTTCAAGGACACTAATTAGGTCATGGTAACTCCAATAAAGCAGTATTGATTTCATTCAGCTTCAGCAGCACTGCTCAAAAACTGCCCCTAACATAGTGGATAGTGAAATTCACATAACTATTACAAATCAAGAGCAGCCAATCTAGGAGAAACTGTGACTGGAAACAGCCTCTTCAGCTCAAACAGGAGCTGCTTTCATGCTCCTGTTCTCATTTCCATTTTAGCTTTCCCATCTGACCAACACATTCCCTGGAGAACTTTAAAAGCAAGTGATTCATCTGTAAAAGCACACAAAATTACAAGTCCCACTCCTGCAGTTTCTACCTATTTTTTATTTGGGCCACACCTTCAGGAATAGTAATGGAATTTTTGCACAGATAAAAACTGAAGATTCCAAGACTGGGACGTTGCTCCCTGGCCAGCAAGCCCACATACATGTATCAGGAAGGGTTAGCAGCTGCTCATATCATCAAACACAAACTGCGTTAAAATGCACATTATGAAGAATAGCTCGGTTAAAAAGACAACCCTTTCAACGCTACAGGGTGCATCTCTATCTTTCTTCCCTGACTGCATGTTGCTCTTCTCCCTTTTCTGATTTCGTCTTTTAACTGCTTTTTCTTTTTTATGAAGAAAGGATTAACTGCAGTATAACAAAAGAAGACCTGGATTTTGCAGACATGGGCACTGAGAGCAAGATAGATTCAGCAAGCATTCACTGAATCTGTCAAAAGTTCATTGTACTCATCATTGATATGAGCAAATCAGCTAATATTTTAAGGGGAGTCCTTGGCAAGTAATGGCTTCAGGAGGCCAGGTTGACTGCAAAGTCAAGTAATGGTATCTAGCCTGAACAGGGGCAAAGTGTGAACCAGACAAGCACCAAGGAAATGTTTTCTGGAATGTATTTTGGCTGTGGAGCAATGATAAACTGCAACACATAAGATGATCCTAAAATTACTGCTTAGTTGCAGCACAGTACTTTCTAAGACTAGTCCATGTTGAAAAATTAAAGACCAGCTCAGGACAAATGACAATAGCCAGAAATATCAACACAGTGACAAACTGCCTTTAGCTGAGCTATTTTCAAGCAAATTCTAAGGGCATGTTTAAACCTATAGATAAAAATACTACTGAGACCTCAAATTCTTGCTTACATAATCTGATAGAAGGGATTATCATTAATAATGTTGTAGCACATTGTATATGCATACATTTCTTTATAAGCAAATAATGTGCATTAAACCAGTAAATCTTATGTATAAAATCATGTCTTCAGTTCATATAATTTTTAATTAATCCTAATTGAAAAAAGAGGAAGACTTAAACTACATTCTTTGTTTCTGCAACTCATTTTTCAATAAAAGCCCCATAACAGTCACTTAAGGCAGTAAGTATTTGTTGTGGCCTAGAGCAGGCCAGAGGAAAAGTCAGAGCTTTTGATAAAAGGCAATAATAGCTATTCTTTGGTAAAGGTTGTCAATAAACAGTGCTAATAATCATGCCACCTTCTGCTCAACTGTGTTGCACTATCAGCATTTCAATCTCTAATTGAATTCCAGTTCTTTACATTCTGCTAGCTACCAAAGTCCCCAAGATAAAGAAGACTTCTGCTGGGCTGGGAGTATAGCAAACAAAAGTAAGAGAAAAGGGACACAAAGCATCTTGTAATACCATTCTGCATTCTCCCTTTTCAAATGCTTTCAGCAAACTATTGGGAATAAGCAGACAGAGGAAGTATTGTTAGGAAATAGAATACACCAAGAACACAGTGATTTTCCTATTTAATACAGAAAATTCATGTGCGAAACAAGAAATAAAGGTAGTTTTTTTAAAAACCTAGTTAAATGACTTTTTCATTGCATTATTATTCTCCAAAAATTCAATTGTAATCCTGCTTATCTGAAAAGCAGTTGGATAGAATCTATCCATCACTGGCAAGGCTAAATCTAATAGCCAAATAAGCCATTGCAAAGTGATCTCCTATAAAGGAGATCCTTTTCCTTTTGAAAGGAAAGGGATAGAGCTATTCACTAGTGCATCCATCTCCTTTCCCTACCTCTATTTTTCCTCTGCAAACCAAATATTGTCACTGTGCGTGTATGTAGCAAAATAATGTATTGACACTAATTATAGAATTATGGGATGCATATGTTCATTATGACATCCTGAAAAATTGATGCTATTAAATTTTATGTTGAAAATAATCTTCTTCATAAGAAGCACAACAAAAAAGGATTACTAGATAATACCAGATCTTTATACCTTTTTTATCTACCAGTCCAGAGTAACTCTTCATAAATTGTTAGACTAACTCTGCATTTACATAATGTCAGTGAATTCAGTATTTGAAAGAGAAGATCCTATCTATGCTGTTCTGTATTCTAGAATCAATCCTTTTTAAAATATATGTGGGGTGACCACAGAATTATACTGAGCCTAATTGTGAATAAAGAATACTCAACTTGAGATGAGATTAAGTGCGAGAAACAGGAAAAGTTAACTACCTGTAGATGTCTGTCATGGAATTGGGTTCAAAGTCTGAAAGGGAATGTATTTCAGGAGCTGTGTAAATCTGTATCAAATGCTGCCGGTAGGAGCTTGACCCCTCAGGAGAATCTTCTTTTCTGTATGACTGCAAACCATAATCTAACATGCAAGAAAACAGGAAGCAAACTATTCAGTGGGTACTCCTCTGAAACATGTGCATTAGTAGACAGTAACACAACTAGTCTAAAGGAATTAATTTTCCCTATTTGAAATACATATCCTAGTCTAAAAATAGTGTAGGCCTGGTGGTCTTGTCCCTCTAAACCAATTGCAAATATAGGATCTGGAAACCAAATATTTGGGTGAGTCTGCATGACAGCAGGAAAGTTGAACTACACGGCCCTTCCAATCAGAATTATTTTATGATTTTATAAAATTATATTCAGAGAATAGGCTCACTTCAGTGCAAGAGTTAGCATGCAAATGCAGGTTTCTGTTCACTCATCCCCTGATCCTTATCTGTGGTGGAAGGTTGCTAGAGTAATTATAAGTTAGACAGACTAGAACTACTGAAAATCAGATGGTGGTCTTTACCTGCACACCACTAGCTTCAGAACAAAGGCAGCATAAATGTGAAACATCTTTGCAGTTATACTTTTAGCCTAACATAGAAGAGATTCTCAGTATGTGACTCAGCATCGGAGAGGAGGAAAAAACAACTGACTTCAGTTTTCTTTCTGATAATAAACAGCACTCTGCTGAGTGTATGGGAAGGCAGGATGCAGATGTCTGGTTTTGCCCGTAATGACCTCTAATTAAGATGGTCCTAGAGCTTCATTCTTTATGTTGGATGTCATTGGAGTTTTTCAAATAGCTCCCATACTGGTTATTTGTGAGGTTTGTTTAGCATTATTGCATGCACATAAACCATGAATATTTGAAGTCTCTACAATGCTACCAGTTAACTTCTGAACAATTTCACAGAGATCCCATTTAATTCAGAGGAGCTGTGCTAAGGTGATGCAGCTGATGTAATCCAACTACCTCCATTTTTTATGCTTTTCTCCAGAACAGGCTCTAAGCAAAGCAGGCAGTTCTGAAGGCAGCAGGATACTAAACAAGTTGGAGAAGCAGGCATGGCCCTGTGTAGGAGCCTTAGTCATAGGATGAACAATTGAAAGACAAATCTGTTGCTGCTGTTTTTAAGATGGCTGTGGGTTATAGAGTGTGATAACTACTTTGGGGAGGAAGTAGAAAAGATGATCATTGCTTTCATTCCCTTTGGAATGAAACTAAACTAGATTCTCCAGTGTTTTTCCACAGGCTGTCTTCCTGTACCAGGAGCAGACCAAACCGATGGCTCTGTCTCTGGGAGAATACAATTCAGTTTTGTGTACAAGACTGAAAAGTTCTGAGTTGAGTCTGCTTTTCTCCATGAAACTACCTTGTGTTTACCAATCAGCCAGCATTATTCCATGTCTTTACAGCACTGTCCATGGCTCAGGTTTTCTCTCTGTATCAAAACTGAGAATGAGACAGTCTCTGCTCAGACTGATGTTGATAGAATCCATCATTTGTGGGATCTGATGTGTGCATCAGTGACACATTAAATGGCTTGACATGAGAATGTAACAAGAAACTTGCTTCAGCACAGGGAACTTCTAGTGAAGGCTGGTATAGTCAGCATTACCACATGAAACGTCAACATGGAGGTGCTTAGAAGGAGTGTTGAGTGTAACATCTATATGCATTGGTGGGTTAGCTGAACAGTTTTGAAATTTTGTTTCTTATCTTCTCTTTACCTGCAATTTTACAAACCCATCGGTCATCTATCACACAGTTACTAGACTTCAACCGTCCATGATACATTTTGTGGTGGTGAAGATAGGCCATTCCTTGTGCAATATCAGTAGCAAAAGAAAACCTGAAAGACAAAAGTCAATGAGCTAGTATTTCCACTAAACCTTCATACAAGAGTGGCTCCAAAGCTTACTGAGGTTGACAGAAAGCCTCTCTATGACTACAATAGCTTTCAGTTTGTGTGCTTATTTTTCCAAAACACTTAAGGTGGGTTGCTGAAAGCCCTAAACTCCCAACTCAGTTGTCTGAGTCCACAGGTCTTTAGCCTCTTTTAAGACAGTTGAGTTTCTTCTAGAAATCCCCAGTACCTTTGTATCCTTGAGAGTACTTCCAAATGTTTACAAGATAAACAATTTTTTATTAACTTTCTCACTTGATTTGGAGGGTTTCCTCCCTTACAATCCTTTTCTTTGCTGAAGGCAAACATAAGGTAGAAGTAGAAAGAGTGTGCCAAGAAGATTATTCTCAAAAAACAATGTCATTGTTTTGTGGAAGTTTCATTGACAATGTGAGCTCAATTTCTGTATCAGTAAATATAATACTGCATTTGTAGTTATGCTAATCATTTCACCAATATGTGCTCACAAACAGAGATGCAGTGATTTTTAATTAAATGGAGATGCCCAAGATACTTAGGAACAAAATAAAGTTACATGGGAAAAAAGGTTTAAAAACAGCTTTTCAGTACAACTAGAGGTGGATTGAAAAGTCACTGGCTTAGCATGACCAGCGCTAAACACATGATTGCTCAAAAATCCAGAAGACAAGTTGGGTTGGATATTTGAATTTGCTTTCTTTCTTTCTTCTTCATTCTCTCCATATCACATTGTAGGCCTGACTATCCAAGGACTTTATCTAAAATTAAAATCTTGTCCTAAACAGCACATAGCACAGTTTGTGTCACGTAGCTTTCCAAAATTTTTTTTCTACCTGAAGCCCCAGTTCAAAGGAATGTCTTCATTGAGTAGAACATCACTCAGGCTGCCTTTGGGGCAGTACTCTGTCACAATGGCAACATTTGGCACTTCTATGCAACCTCCAATGAATTTGCAGAGATTGGGATGGTCAAGTTCCCTGTGAAAATGAACAGAAATCACGACACACCAGCAGTTTTCATGGATGTCCCTCCTGCTTTTTGTAAGGTAACTGGAAGACCAAGTCCTTGTCTCACAATATAGACAGAAAAGTAAAACTGGCGTAAGGAGATTTTGATCTGGTGTTAAAACAAAGTTTGAAAGAAAGAGGAATATGAATTTACAGTCACATTTGGACAGATTGTAACCCCTGTAACCCCTAAAGAACCAGCATAAAAATGGAACAACATAGACTTCTCAGGTTTCACTTCTTACCTCACTTGCTTTACTTCTTTACGTATGGATTTGGACAGCGAGAATGCCTTCTTTGTTATTTTCTTTATGGCCACTGTTCTACCATCACTGAAACAGAATGAAATGCTGTTCACAGAGTTTTAGGCCAACTTCATAATCCATCCAGACTACAAAAATGGGCTGGATTTTTTTTCTACAGTGGGCAGCTTCATATCTCTCAAGATGAGGCACAGAATTTAAGCATGTTCGTATGTGGGTGTAAATCTGAATCTGAGTACATGACAGGCAACAAGGCCCTGTTTCTATGATAAGGGAAGAATTAGCATTTATATTCAAGCATTCTTGATCTGTGGGTGACATTTGGAACATATGAGGTTAGGGTCAGTTGAGGCAGTTGGATGATGGAATAGTATTATTACTACTACTACTTTACAGGAAACGTCAGAGCTAGTGAAACACATCCCTGCTATCCCTTGCTTCTGCCTACTGTTTTGGAGAACCACCACTGATATTTAACATCCTTTTGTTCTCATGGGATGAAGCATTCTCATCGATGAAGCAGCTGAGTTTGATAGACAGCAAAGCAATTTTCCATGGAAGAATAAAGGAATACAGTGGACATACATGCAGGAATTTAAGTGATACCCACCATATAAATACAGAGTATGGGGTCTGTGGTGTAGCAGATGTAGGTGCTTTGCCAATGAGACTGAATGTCCCATTCTTACATCTTTCACCCTTGATGAATGTGTTTGACCTTGATTCATCTGAGGAAGATGGTGATGATGAAAATGTCATAATTCAGAAAGAAGCAGCAAAAATGCTCACTGTAAAAGATCTGTGCTGGACACAGTGTCTCTCAATGTCACTCAGTGAAGTGGCTGCAATTTTCCAGAACAGTGATCTGTGCTGATAAGGCAGCTGCTTGCCCAGCCGATGATCCTAAGCTCCTCTATCCTGCAAATCATGGATCCTTCCCTGTGTATTCAAATGGTAGGTATTACTTCTATCTTCATATATGTTCTGTCCCTACCCCCTAATTGTAGTATTTTTATGGGAAAATTGTTTTCTGCATAGCAGGATATGGCTAAACTATTTGCTCGTATAGTTATATGATGTGCACCTTTATAATGTGATCCAGAGGTGAAATGGTCTGTATCTTCAGCCACATCAGCTGGTTTAAGGACAAGATTTCTAATGTGCTACTGTATAGGATGCTACTCTTTAGAGCAAAAAACCTAGCTGTGCTCTGCCTGCATTTTAGAAAAAAAGGCTGCATAAAAGCCTTGGTTACAAATATATTTGAACAGTAAGGGCCATTCATGAACAGATGCAAGACACATTATGCAGCCACAGCCTTTTAACAATTCCCCAAGAGAAAAGAAGAAATGACAACCAAAACAGAAGCCTGGCATGTAGGATATTCCACGGTCAGTATGAGGTACAGAAGTTAGGTGATGATACTAACTGACTGGATTTAGCCTAGCAAGAGAAATGGAAGCTTTTGTACTACCTATCAACAGTAAAGTGGCAAGAACCGGAAAGCAAGGTGAAACTATGGTGTAGTAGGTACTGCAGTAAACAAGTAATATATTGACTTACTATCTCCCAGTCTGGGTGAAGTACTGTTTCCTGGACACATTAGCAGCTGCTGTGCAGGAGCTCAGAGCAGTGATACAGCTGGCATCGGAGTCACTGTGTGCTGGAGGAGCACTCATCGTGCTTCCTGTTGCTGTCCGTACTACGTGATCTAAATGGGATGTGGGATGAGAAAAGGCACCAGAAGATGCATATTATTACCCAGCTAGAGACTCCAGAGGCAGAAAAATATAGCCAATTCTCCAAATCTTTGCATCTTGTCCGGTCTTGTTAACACTTAAGACAGAAAGCCATTGCTTGGAACGTGAGTGCTCCATAAAAAGTAAAAAAAGTTCCAGAGGTGATTCATTGCCAGAGATCTTTCCCACTAATCCCCGGGTTTCAGTGTAAGTTTCATATCTCTGTTCTTGGGATGATTAGCCCTTGCTGCTACTTAGATGACAAGGACAGAACCCAGGGAAGCAGAACAAGCCCTGTGCCATACTTTAACAAGTCTATTTGGAGCTCCTAGAAGACTGTAAAGTACAAGGATGTGGGAAGTGATTCTGACACTAGAGGGAAGTCAGAGAAAAGCAACAATACAGTCAGATGAAAAAAAAATCAATGATCCTAACTTCTGTTTTTTCACCTCTGTTGACCAGCTCAAGGTGACATCACACTACATATCATTTCACCATCTCCAGTTAAAACCCAGATTTAGCCAACTAGTCTCAGCATTGCTGAAACCTTTCAATTCTCCCTGGTATGAGTATCTAATAAAGTGTTGCTGAGGAAGTTCAGCATCTCACCTTGCATCAGGACTGCCATGTTCCCACACCACAGTATTATCCATATGCAGTTCAAAATTGCATTGACATTTGGAGTCTTTCTACGGCATTCCACCCAGAAATATATTAGAGATCCCTGAGATAGCTTTGAGAATAAGAGTGTACATATAAATATATATATATATATGTATATATATATGGTGCAATGCACCAAAAAAGGAGTTATCTTGAAAAAATAAAGCAAATTTTTCACAGTACAGGCTACATACCCTGGGTATAGCACTGCTGATGTGTTTCAATTTAGATAACTGTACATTTCAGGCAACTATGGGTATTTCTGGACAGCTCTGTCCAGAGGATACATACTGTCTGTTTCCAAATCTCATCATATTATCAGTGCTTATTAACCTTAAGTTGTTAATTACCACTCCTAGTCTTAAACAGTATTGTTGCTTCATAGTCTCCTCTCCAAGAAAACTATGTCTTTCATCTTGGATTTTTCAAATTAATTTTTAATGTGTTATTTTTTGATCATGCTTCTAATTTCCCTCAGTCTCTTTCTATTGTTTATCTTCCTCTGTGATGTTTATGACCTCTTCTAATTCACTATCAGCTGAAAATTTTCTCATGTTTCTTTTTGAAAGACACTTCTCCTTGAGTGTTCCATTTCTGTTTTCACAAATCTGGATTGAAATTTGGTTTGGTTTATGTACTCAAATTAATTTCTAAACTAACATCTGTTCTTTACAGCAACGCGGATATCATATCAGCACTACACAGAAATTAATATTCTAGTCCAAAGCTGAAAGTCTTTCTACTATATAATAACACAAAAATGTCTTGACACTTCCACTAGCAACACAATGACATAACACAGCTACAGCAGACACCTTTCTAGCAATTCCTCACAGAGACAAAAAGTGAGAGAGTGTACACCAGCACAGACCTATCAACTTAAGCATTTTTCTACAGATTTACCCTTTCAGAGGGTCTAGACATTGTTTTCCTTCTGAATGCTAAAACAATTAACAGCAAAGTAAATAATATATACCTATTTTGCATGCAGCATAGTAAAGCATGTAATAATATCTGATTTTATTCTTAACATGTTTAATTAGAACCAATTAAATCATATTTTATATCCAGAAGGTAAAATGAAAAAAACTCTGGGCACAATGAATTACATTTTGCAGCAAGTCTGTCACAGATAGCATACACTGAGAGAACTGAAGATCTCATTATATACCTCATTATATGTGTGCAACTTAATGAGACCAATTATACAGAATGATACATCCACTGAAGCAACTGGAATTTATTTTGTCCAAGTCCAGAGGTTAGCTGTTTATTTTGGGATAGGCCTGTCTTTTTTACTTGACAAATCACCATAAAAAAGAAGGAAACTATTTAAAATAACTTTGACATCTAATGTTTCAATAAACAAAAATATCAGTGATCAGCTCACAGAGGTTACAGGGATGAAACTTTGGCTATGTCTTTTACAAATTGGTTCACCTTTTATAAGACCCTTAAAACATGAAGATGTATTTATGACTGATATTATTTCTCAACATGATTAAGGAAACTGACTGTAGTATCAAAATGACAAGTTACTAACCTTGTTTGATGCAGGTGAAGTCTATAATCCAGCTTTCATCCCAAAACATCTTTTGTTTCTGATATTGAAACCACTAAAAAACCCAATCAAATTAATTCCTGATGTAGCCTTACTTTCTTCAAAGGAATTAAACCAGAGATTATTTTTTTCAAATATGAAAGTTTATAAGTATCCAAACAAAGTCTGCTGTTTAAGCATCCAACATGTATCTTACAAGTAATATTAGAACCAAGAGTATTAATAACAGGCTTAAAAGAAAACAGCATCTGATAAGTATCTTAAAAACTGTACAATCTATGTTCTAGAATCTAATTACATGTTATATTTTGCATTGGCTACAAACTCTCCATTATTGTCAATACTTCTTATGCACTACCTTTACATGTCAGCCTGGACATCAGATGAGTGGTTTACAACACCTCATGTCGCGGAAATGTCCTATGCTATGTAAATGCATGACACGAACACACTACATCCCAACCCCAAGGTAAGGAGCAGTACATCTTATAACCTGTAACAGAATTAGTCCCCGATCCACAAATGAGGTCATGTTATGTCAAATACTCTAGTATAAAGAATATTAGTAGGGATTCTGTGGTTACTTTGTAAAGAAGTCATCAATCTAATAGCTGATTTCCTGTAGAGCTGACATGCAAAACTAACGTAGAAAGTGTAAATATATGCTTTCCAAAGAGGAGCAGCAGATTAAATTATGCAGTTGTTATAGCTGCAGTCAATGCCAAAATATCAAACCAAAGCAGAATTTTACCATCATTATACCATTTTTTATAGTGTGGAATTTAATATTAGGAATTAATATCATTGAAATAGGTAACAGGAGCCCAGATAATATGCAAGGAACATGGTGCGGAGATTGTGTTGATATTTTGGTAGAAATTTATGACAAATATAGAGCTCGCTGAATCAAAATTAAGTAATCCCATTTATTTCAAAATGTTTCTGAGGAAAGACATCAGCTACATTTTGTCTTGCAAAGCTGTGACTGAAAAAAGACATATTAGCTGGAAGTGACCACTAGGCTTGCTAGAGACACTGCTATCAAAGGAATCCTCTCCTCTTCTTGAATGATTAAAAAAGGCATTAGTTTCCCACATGGTTCTTTTTACATTATATTAATTACTGAATTAGATAAAAGGATCTTTCCTATCTTGTTTACTTATCACCTAAATAAAACATTAAATAAAGAAGATGCTACTGCAGAATTTGGCAGGAGGAAGTATACAGAAATGCAAGAAGAAAAAAATAAACCTCAAAACCTACAAAAAATAGCAGAAATAATAGGTAAATTTTGCTAAAAGACCTTATCTAAACCTATGCAAGGCCGAGAAACTCCATTGTTCTTTCTAAAATGCCAATTGTTTAAAAGTGTCTGAACTTCTCATCTGTCCAATTCTACATTTCTATCAGATCACGTGGTTTTCAGGACAGTTACTATAAACGCATTGTCACAACTGCCCTGTGGATTATAAATGCTCAAATAGTTTTCAACAGTGCTTCCATTCCTCACTCACAAAGCCACACAGAGAGGCACAGAATAGAGAAGACACCTAATTGTGATTCAGGCCTCCTGTAGTACCTTACTCAGTGGCCCATCAGTCTTCTCCTGCTCATTCCCCCTCAGTGCTCTTGCCTACCTCAGGTGCTCACTGCAACTGCAGTACGAGATAGAAAGAGAAGGAATCCCTGAGGAAAGAGGAGCCTGTCGATTTACAGGATTTATAGGCCAAACACCAAATAAATTATCTGTTATGTACATAGTCAATATAATGACTCTAAAACTGCCATATTCACCTGCTAAATCCTTATTATGAAATTCAGAAACATTTTTTTTTTCAAGGTGCAGACACATAAGGAATGTAGATCCTCTTTCCCAGAAGCACTGTGAAGTAATAAGCCATAATAGCATGCTGTCTCCTCTTTATACAGACGTTTTCATTCAAAGGTATCCAATCCACTATTTCTCCCATATCCATATACTCCTCTCTCCTCATTCCCTTTTTTTTTTTCCTTCATGAGTCTGTTATAATAATTTATAACTATTATGTAAAATTAATCACTTTAAACTGAACCAAAATGGTTCACTTACACTAAGTAAATTAGCCTATTAAAAAATAAAATTAAATTAAAAAACCCCAAACAACAAAACACAGAAAAAAAGGAAATATCCTCTTCTTATTATTTCTTTTGAGAATATCCCAAGTTGAATGTTTTCCATTATAAGTTGTATTTGGACTCTGAGATTTAATGGCCTCTGGTGGAGTTAATCCCGTTATGAATTTGCCAAATTATTTTTGAATTCATTTATACTGCTGGCCTCCATAGGGTTTTGAAGCAGTTAATTTCGTAACAGTTTTATTCTGAGCAAAAAGTGCTCTTACTTTACTAGCACCGCCTGGTTCCTATGTTGTGAAAAACCTCTTATTCCTTTACCATTATATATCCATCTCTCTGTTACATTCCTCTTCAGGCTTCTGTTTTACAGGATGTAAATTCCTAGCCCAATGAGCCTCCTCTCACAAAGAAGCCAAAAATGTTGTTTCCCTTCCTTCTGCTTTTTTCCATAGCACACAGGTTCTGGATGTAGAAGAAAATCTATCCCTCTGCTAAGACAGAGCTCTACTCTAGCTAACCAGATCATGGAAGTAAGAGAAAGGAAATAGAGGAGGAGAGACAGGATACTTACCATTACTGTCAAAATGAAGCCAGTGCAGACTAAACATATTGGTAAGGCAATTGCTATCCTAGCATCGGCAGACAGTGGGCATTCCCCACAATCTGCTGGACAGATAGAGCAGCCTTCTTCTTCCTCACAAAAGCCATCTCCACAGACTAATAAGAAAAGGAAACATATCAGAATACTTCAAGGCAGTTTCATCCTTCCACGAGGTTGTATTCAGATTTAAACACATGGTTCTTGATCTGGGAAACCTCAGAGTACCAGAAAGAATAAATTTTGAAAAATCCAGAGATAGGACCCAAGCAGCTGAAAGAATAATCTGAATTTTTAAAGTGATACAGGATCTCTTTGATCAGATTAAATTGTTAATAACATCAGAGCCTTTGACATGTTTGGTGTATAAATCACATCATCATTACTCTGTTTCTCATTGTCCATCTGTTTTTTCTGAGACTTAAAGTTCCTCAAGGCAGGCATTGTCTTTTCTATTCTTTGTATTTAATCCAGCCCTTGAGATCCCCAGAAACCAGTGACCCTTCCTTAGCAGCAGCAGAAGGCACTGAATACTGCTGAATGAAATTCGTACTTCAAGAAGGTTTCTTTTTTTCCAAGGTCTTATCAAAATTACCAGCAGTATCAAGTGTGATTTGAAACAAAAGCCCTAAAGGACAAAAATCCTTCTCCCATGTCCTGAATGGCGTTTCAATTTTACCTCTATGACTAACTAATATCATGTTGTACTTCAGCCTTCTGAGATGAACTGAAGGTATTATTCTGTCATTATGTAATACCCTTTTTGAAAAAAGCCTCAACAAAAAAAAAAAAAAAAAAAACAAACAAAAAAACAAACAAAATGCACTGTTCAGTAATAATTTTACCTCAGTCTATTTGATTCCAGGATAATACCAGGATAATCACAGAAGTCACTTTCTGCCTCAGGGGTAGAGCTGCATAATTAGATTTCTTTTCTGATAAATTGTAAGTTTCCTGGAAAACTCAGCTGCAGCTGTCTTGAAATGAATAACAAATTCTATAGCTAAGTATTTCCATCCACACTGGAGTTGCTTTGGTTCTTTTTTTTCTTTTCATAACATTGGGAAATTTATTCTCAAACTTCCAGAAGAGTAGGTAACAAGAGTACTGTGATGACATTCCTATTTTACCCAATACTTTTCTTCAGGTTGTGTGTTTAATTTATTAAATAACTCCAGTTTTTAAATTTTACATTGCTAAGAGAATTGTTACAGTTATTTCTGCTTCCCTGCATACAGCTATACTAAAGTGAATGAAAGACTGATGCCTCTGGGAACAACTGAATTTTAATGTGAACAAGGGAACCAAGATGGTTTTCTACCTTTCCAGTATGCTTAAGGCTAGCCTGGTCCCCTTCAGATGAAGAGTGTCCAGATTGTCACAACATACTAGCTGGAAGAATATTTTCACATCCCCATCAACTGCAGATAAGTAGTACCTGCAGCCATTTGGCATGGTATTTGACTTTACCTATTTGTCAAGAGTGGCTTCCTACTGTTCTAGATTCATACATAGGTTAGAAGCTCAAACAGTTTTACAGATGTTCAGTGTTATGTGATGAAGAATTTTAGGAAGATTTTTGTGCATTTTCAATGGTAAGAGGGGGAGAGGAGTCCCTTTTGCTCTTGGTAACCATGCATGAATGATAAAAGCTTTGGGATTTGCAGTCAATAGGCAATTCCCTCACATCTTCATTTTATGTCATACCTACTGCAGGAAGGACTGTGGTTTTTGCTTCCAGAGCAACTTGCATTCTCCCAACTCTGACGTGTGCGATGAGAGAAGTCACACCCACATGAACTAAAACAACCTGCCAAACAAGTGAACAAAGCAGAAGCATCAAAACTTCACTTGCAGTAGGCTATTGTACCAACAATTGTCCAATTGTGGTGTCTTGCAAAAGAATGCATGCATTTTTTCAGAATCAGGAAGGACAGGTATCCTTGACTAGGGAGACATGCAGAAGCAGGAGACACAACTCTTGTGGGAAAGGCAGGTCTAATTCCTCTCCTGGTTTGTATTCTTTTCACCAAGCAGGGCTATCAGCCTGTGCATTCTGTCACGTTTTCTTCCCTGTTACTTCTGCTGGGTAGAAGCCCCCTAATGACCATATTAACCTGCAACACCCTCCAGTCAGTAGTGCAATATATTGTTAGTGTAGGTCTTAAATGGACAGATAAGGATATTCTCTATCCTCCCATCCCCATTACTTCTACTTACTACCTAGGGAGTAGTAGTGTGAAAAACTGTTACTTCCAACTCAAGTCAGTTGGGAATTGATATTACTCAGCCATATGCATCACTTACACACATAACACTGACAAATAAATGAGATGGGGAACACGTACATGAACTGCACTAAACTACTAGCAAGTAAGTTCTGAAAAGAGCAAACTAGGTAAAATACTGTATGCAACAAAAATACCTTACCTTGGCAGTCCAGTTTCTTTGGCTCATTTTGCCAGCTGTAGACAAAGTGTGAGTAAATATCTGGCCATCATCTGGGATCCATGGACCACATATTCCTCCTCTACCCTTTATCAGACATATTGGTTATGTCAGTAAACCATGACACAATAAAATACTAGCTCCTCCTCTTTTACTTTCTTAAAATGACTTGTGTTCTCTAAGAGAAAATAAAGTGATATTTTATAACCAAATCTATTAAAATGACACAGCACAAGCAACACTCTTCTGTGATAAAAGATAAAATAAGAGAGAAGAAATTGTGCCTGTACTGAGTTAAAATCTCACAAATATTGTTATTTTTAAAAATACAGGAGCCAAAATGTGGTCCCAAATTTTAAATGCAGTAATTCTATGAAGCTAATACACTTTTTCAGGATTTGCTATATTAGAACCAGAACCAGAATCATATCCCATTTTTAATATTTTTCTAAAGGGGTTTTATTGCCATTTCACTTTTGATAAGGCAGCTTTTTTTTTCTTTAATGAGAAAGGAAGGCATCTCTTCTGTGCCTGTTTGCAGAGTATTTATCAGTAAAGCTGTTAAGATGTGAACCTCCCAGCAATTGCAACCACAGAGCATTAGTTTGGCTGTCTGAAGATCTTGCATTTTTTTATTTGCTTGAAAGGATTAAGTCTGTCTCCTAACTCCAGATATTTCTTCATGCACTTCTTTCAATGCACTGTAAGACATAGACCAAATCAAAAGAACTGGAGTTCATGTTAACCAAGATAAAACATTTAAAAATCATGACACTGCAAAAAAAACCCCAACAAAACCTCCTCTCAATGGAAAAAGCTTGCTTTGAAGTGTATGTTCAATCTTATGCAATGATACTCATGGCCTTTTTGCTGCATGACAGCCAATCTGCTTAGACTTCTCCTAAGCAGGACCTGAAATATTTACAGTATTGCAAGGAAGCCAGATGATGCATGTTGGCTACATGCTTTCACCTTTTCCAAACCTTAATTCCAAGCAGAACTAACTGTGAAAGTAAGAAATAATGGAGAGGTCACTGCAGTGGTGGGATGTTGAAGTTCTTTACTATGGTTCTAGACAAAAGTTTTGATGTGATGGTTCCAGCAGGGATTCCTCTTTTAAACCAAAGCCGTGGTATCAGCTAAGGCCCCCAGGGAGTCATTACTAAAACAGCGCCTTATAAAGAGACTGCCAAGAAGTAAGTTAGAACTCTTGTGGAGACATTAAGCCTTCACACAGAAGGGTACATGAAATAGCCACAAGACATGTACACTAGGTTTTCTATTAGACCATCTTTGATCACAAAGAATGTATCAGGTTGCCAGAAGGGAGGTCAACTAGAAAGACTAAATATTCATTCAAAGAGAGACAGCCAAGTTAAGAATGGATCCTGCTTACATTGCATGAACAAATTTTGTTATCATGTATTTGGATTCCTTTTTTTTGCTCTGTTATAATACAGAAAAATAATTCCTTCTCAGGACATGTGTATACAGGCTTCAGTTCTACAAGTCACAGCCAGTGATACTCACCGCACTCAACTTCAGTAATCAGTGATACTTACCCCACTCAACTTCAGTAATTCAAGCAAATCATTCAGGGTCCCTCTATAAGACGCAGAGACAGTAACACTTCCAACTGACAATTCGCCCTGCTTGCTTTAGAATGAAATGATATGTCTTTCTTTCTCTATTAACTGTACAGAAATCTAAGTCAAGTAATTGCAAAGAGATGAAAATGGCCCTACTAATAATGAGAGACTCCGAATACTGCCTTGTCCAAAAATCCAGCCATTTGCTTCGGAGCCTCAGAATCCAGTGCAAAAAATTCTAAAACTGACAGATATCCCCACAGTGGTTTTAGTGAGCTATAGATTTGGTCTAATTGTAATCACAGAAAGACTTCATAAACTTGAACCTGGTTATTACAATGATGTCTCATTCAGTAGCAAGAACAGAGCACACAATGCTGCACCATTATACTAACCATGAAGGCCAAAGGACAGGAATGAATGTTGGCGTGGTAGACACAGCAGTTTTCCCCATTTGCATCTTTCCAGCTGGCAGGGCATTCATGCTCCTCACAGAACTCCTTCGCAGCAGTAGCATTGCTAGCCAAGCAGCAGAAAGAGAAACTTTTATATTCATTTCTCATTCCCCAAAACTGCAACAAGCACATGAAAGCCTGTTCTTTATCCTGCACAGAAAAATTAGCAGCAAAAACATATGCAGTGAAATAAACATAGTTACACCACTTCTTTCTCTTTTGTTTTGCTTCTGGTTGAAGCCTTCTAGAGCAATGAAGCTTGCTGTCAACTGGATCACTGTCTACTGCCATGTGGTAGGGACTTCTGGCAGATACTATGCTGCAAGCAGGTACTCACCTCCACTTCTCTCCCCAGACTGACTTGATGACCACGTGGGATTACTTGGTACCACTACATCTGGCACAGAACAAGATACCATTACTCTACTGCCACTATCAGAAATATATGTCCCTGGCTACTTTTATTCTCAGTGTTTTCAATTATATACATTTATCTATGCAGGTGATTCATATATATCATTGAGCTCCAGTCTTTGCTCTACAATGCAAACAGCCAAGGAAAATAACTATATTGGACAATAATATCAGATAAAATTCTGCAAACCAAAAATTTATAGCAAAAAGTGGACTTTATGAACAGACTGGTCTGCAAAACAAGGTGGGCCTTTTGAAATTTCATCCCTGAAAGACTAACGTAGTTACCTGGAAATGTGTGATGAAACACTTTTTCCCACTGTTTCCTCAATTACACTTTCAGTTGGTTATCACCCTAATAAACTTGGCTTTAAAATAAAATAATGTTCTGCAAACATGGTTTACTCAGTAGATACAGACAGACGTAGTTGTAGGGTTTAGTTTAAATGTTATGCACTTGTGATGGATCTCTATAAAGCAATGCCAGAGCACCAGGATTTTTTCGGTTTGTTTTTAATGAAAGAAGAACGAGCCAGTAATGAGCAGATTTAAGACAGAAGACTGTATTATAAGAAATAAACACAAACATAGGGGATCTGGTTGACATGGATTGTGTTAATGGCCAGATTTACAAAGGCATAGACATACTTGAAACTTGAGATAAGCAAATTCGTCAATTCCCAAGGCATCTAAACACATAAAATATTAAAATCTATCGGCATTTGACTCCATGCTGGGAGTTTAAAAAAGACTTAAGCAAGCTGTTGCTTAATTCTATCACATATTTGTCCTTATGGCTGCTTTTTAAAATTTATCCTGTATTCTCTATTTTCTATTCAATAACTTCATCATGGCCTTCACCCGATTATGCTGACACCCATACTTTGACTTGCCAGCCTCAGCCATATTTGGGTCAGCCACTGTAAGCTTATGAGTCAGCCAGATAGTCTTCTAGTTAAAACGAGGTGCAAATTTGATCCCTTTGAAAAACTGCTGCATAGATTTCTCTCTTTTAAAATATTTACCATCTGTTTCTGTGTGCAAGATATGTATGAGTATACAAAAAGCAGAATTTTCCAAATTCCTTACTGATTTAAGGAAGTGGATCTCCCTGGTAAGACTAGAAAAATAGATTCATTTCCAAGCAGTGAAAAAAACTGCTTTATGGTTAAGTTCTTGGAACTATTACTAGCCATAGATTTCAGAAAATGTGATATACAAATTTTGCAAAACTGTGTAACCACAGTACATAGATGATCAAAATCCAATATCAACTTTTTACCATTGCAAATTGATTATAGGTCATCTTTCAATATGAAAAAAAAAATATCTCTGAATAACAGCTTTTACAATCTGAACTTTGCAATGTGAACACTCAGACTGGCAGAGAAAAATGTGATGTTTTCCATAAACCTCTCTTACACTAACCAAGCACATCACAGAAAGTGGGGAAATACAGCTGCAACCTCTGTCCCAGACATTGCTGTATATGGATGGAGAACTGCTGTGTACAGACAAAAGTGTAAAATCAGGGCTTATTAGCCTCTAAGTGATCTGGAGTTGTACCCATAAACATTCCATATTTAACCTCTGTTGTCTACAGTTATCAACACAATCTCTGAGTTGCTATATAAGCTTTTGGACTGATTTCAATTCCACAGAAATCAAAAGAAGTTCATCACTAAATTTAGCAGATTCAGGGTTGGGCCAGCCTCTTTTTCATACCCATGCTGTGCGCTTCAAACATACTTATGATTAAAATGAATATAAGACATAGTTAATTTGGGACTTGTGCTTAAACTTCAGTTGTAAATTCCTTGTGATGTTCAGAGTTGCACTGAGACAGTAATACAGGTACAGGATGATGTGCCCTATCCTTGACCATGCGGGCAAGCATGCCATGATGGCTTATCTGAGAGCAAAGCCAATGCAGAGGGGAAAATATCAGGGCAAATAGAGCTAAGGTGCAAAGAATTAGAAAGGAGCCACAGAATATGTGTTCCAATTATGTAACTGAAAATGTACACACAGAATCCCCATATAATCATGACAATGAAAGCATTTTTATTGGAGTTAATACCTGTGAGAAAGGATTCCATTTTGCACTGCATATTGATAAAAGCTGTCTGAAGCAAAGACTGCATAGGTCACATTGAAGAATTCTCCACTCACAGCCTTTTCTGGAGGCCTTTGCACCCATGCCATCTCCAGGCCTAGAAACAACACAGTCATGGGCTAACATATTTGCTATACTTTTCTACTTTATGCACGCAAATGTAGAATTTTCTCTGTAGTGATTTTCATCAGTTGTTCCTATTGTTTTTTATGAGCCCAAAACAGTCATCCATTTTAGTGGCTGTATAGGTAAATAAAAATGCACATTAACTGAACAATTCTGACACTCACTTTAAAAAAATCAAGCAATTGGAGAAATATGACAAAAAATCTGGTCATCTTATCTGAAGTGTCTTTACTCCCAGTATAATGCAGTGCTGCTTGTCCTGAAATATTTGTTTTCCTCTTTGATCAGGCAATAAACACTTCTCTTCATTCTTAGCTGCTTTCACTGTGGCATACCTCATTATGGAAGAAGAATAGACAACTCTAGCACACAAGAAATTCAGTCAAAACCCTTAACCTCATGAGACATAAATTATTTATACTAATATATTTAAGAAAGCATTCTCATTTTATAAAACTATACTACATCTAGAACAGAGGACAGTGGAAGGAGTGCTACTCAGACATGTGTCATTTTCCATTTCCACATTCTTATTGGGAAAGATTATTTATCCCAGTCATCTCTCTTGTCCCTGGGATACCATATTACCTGCTCTGGGCCTGGGAATGAAGTGACATAAGAGACGGTAGAAGTTTTTAATCCATATTCTTAAACAAGACTATCAAAATCTTCCCACTCCATTCACCTACCTCTTTCCATATTGTTGGTTTTAATTCTCACCACATCAAATTACTTACAGCATGCAAGTGTGTAGCTCTCAGTTTGTGAGGAATTTGCAAATCCCTTATGCAGAGGATGGGTAAACCTGCCCTTCAAGAGAATCTCACTTTGTTGTTGTTTTTGTTCCGTTTTAAACTCTTTTATTACTCTGGAGTTGTTTTTACAAATGTATTCTTCACTTGCACTGTTAGTGAAGCTCCTATTTTTTCCCCTAAATGTAATTACCTTTCAGATATAAAGAAGAAAATTGTAAAATAACCTCTTGATTTCACATCTTCCTCAATAAATGCTAACACTATGAGAGAAACAACAACACAAAGATTTACAAAATGCTAGTGTGATTTGCACTAAAAGGTAAGAGAGAGCTGAGCTTCCGAGAATGTGTGAGAATGAAGGCAAAAGGTCAACATAAATTTCAGTTTAATTACTCTCTAATTCCTTTTACGGTCTCACAAAAATAAACAAAACTCTTCTTTCAATGATCAATACTCCCACATCTAAATGCTTTGAAGATCTTATGTTAAATCCACAGCAATCAGGCTACAGTATATGCCTCTTGCTTTGCTTTTAGCAATGCCCAGAAGATGACAAAGAAGAACCACAGAGAAAGGTAGGATAAAGCTTGGAGTTCATTCTAAACCTGTTTGTAAAGAATATATGTTAATTAAACAACCTCCTCACATTAGTTTCCCTTGTATTCAGTTCACACTTTGATTATTAGCAAGAACAGCTTTAAACAAGTAATCTTTTCTGGTAAATAGTTGTTTCAATGTTAAAGTAATAGCAAATTCGTACAGGGATAAAAGCCTTAGTTGACAATCACCTAGATAGTCTTTGAATTTCACCGTTCCAACAGAACTCTTTGGAAAATGTTTAATTGTAATATTGAGCTCAGAGTGTGACCCAGCAGTGTATTTCCTGGAGTGTTTTATCAGTATTAGTTTCACAGGTGTTCTTATTTTTCCTAAAAACGATATTGAAACACATTGTCTCTGGTCTTATCTTCTACAACAGAAACAAAAGTGTTGCTTTACATCAGTTATTTATCAGTTACAGAGTCACAAAATCACAGAATAGTTGAAATTGGAAGGCACCTCCGGAAATCATTTGGTCCAAACCTTTGTTGCTCAAGGCAGGATCACGTAAAACAGGTTGCTCTAGATCTTGTCTAGTTGGGTTTTGAAAATCTCCAAGGATGGAGAAATCACAACCTTTCTGGGCAACCTGTTCTACTGTTTGATCACCCTTACAGTATAAAAGTATTTCCTCATATTTAAATTGAATTTCTCATTTTTCAGTTGCTCTTTAATTATTTTTCAATCTCAAAAAATCAATTTCCAACATAAATAATTATTCTATTTTTTATTATCTCATCATATAAATTCATTTTTGAAACTGACTGGAATAAGTGATTAAAGATCTCAGATTCTTTTTTAAGTACTTGTGGAACACAGTTTTGAGCAAGGTGGAAAAGCATGACCTGTAGAATCAGTGATTTTGTTTACTGGCTGGAGTGTTTAAACACAGTCCACTTTTGAACTGACACTACAAAATTTCAGCAATGACTCAATAGAATTTGCTGCAATGCAGAGCTGCCTACATGCTTTGTTTCGATGAAGTTGTATTTGGTTTTCTAAAGAGAAATAAAATGTTTTCAGTTTCTTCCAGGGTGAAGGGATTCAGCTGTTGCTACTTTTTTAATCTTTCAGAACCAATGAATATTGGACAAATAATTGCTCTTAAGTATCTTTTGGTTGTTTTCTTTCACTTATTTCTCTAGAAAGAGAGGTTGTCACCGATTCAGATGCTTTCCACCATGCATAACATTCATCATGAGTTAGGTATTATTCTGAGTACTTCAGTTTTGGGTTTTCACCATTCCCCAGACAAGAGATGCTCTTTCTTGAGCAGCTTTAGGACTCACTCACCTCCACAGTCCAGCATGTTATACTCATCTGGTTTTTCCAGGGGCCAACAGTCATAGTCTTTGTTATCTAAATCATGCCACCCCTCCGCTAGTATCACCTGCCAGAAAAAAAGCATATGAATAGACTCCAAAAAAGACAGTATGGGAACAAAGGAAGGATGAGTTCCTTCTCCGAAGTTTGTATTTCTTCTAAAGAAATCAAACCAAATGCAGAAACATAGCCTGGCATATATCACTCTCTTCAACTTCTGGAGAAAAAAATGACAGCTTCCAAGGGATATACAGACTCGATCAGTATATTATTTTGATCTACCCAGAAATTAGCCATGAAACATTGAGGGGACTTAACTAATCTGTGTCTTGCAGAAGGTTTTCTCTATGAAGAGCAGGGGATTCTAGGACCATATGCAGAGAGACATTTGATTTAAAGATTTCTTTTGTTTGCTTTTAAAATGGCACCCCCCTTGCTCCAAACTGCTGTTTCTTTTAATCTTTTACAGGTAAACTCTTTGAAAGAGTAGGTTTTTGCTATACTTTTAATAACACAATACAACTGTTAATTATATAAATGTTAATATATAATTATAGATAATACTAAGACTGCATAAGCCTATTACAGGTAGAATACAGCATCAGAATAGCTTAATTACTTATCACAGTATGCATGGAATAAGATAAAATTATATGATTTTTCCAATATATTCTTCTATTACTCGTTTTCTATATTACTAAAATAACATTCAATGATTGCCTCATATAAACAGCTGTTTCACTGCAATAAGCCATATACAGATCTTTCCATATGCACAGACCACAGGAATAAGTTCTGGTAAGCAGATCTATGTAGTTTACCTACCAATAAACTGAGGAGGCTTCGGAGCCCTAAGGCTGGTGTTTTGACAGGTCTCATGCTCCCTAACATGCACCCAGCTCACCAAGTGTCAGGGCTGCTTCTGATGTTGCTGTTGCTACAGAATTAGATGCCCTCGCCTAAGAAGGGGGGTTGCTAGGCAAGCTGAACCTGGCAACTACAGCTGCTGCAGCTGTTCTGCCTCCTCCTTCCCTCTTCCCCCCTACCCCACTTCTTCTCTGTGCAAGGTGGAAACACCCCTATGCACCTCTGCTGAACCTCTCTGAAAAATCATCACTTGTCTTAGGGGCAGCCCTGCTCTCAGACCATTGAATTTTGTGCCCCTGTCAGCTCAAAGCTGGAAAAGCAATGGGAGGATTCCATTTCACTGACTTGTTGAACTTGAGCAGCATCTGACCCTTAGGCAGTTGAATCGGTACTGTGGAAATAAACACAGAGACATGGCTGGGCCTGGGGGAGGAGAAGTGTATAAACTCCAAGGCAAGAAATGGTCACCTATGTAAGATAACCTTAGAGGCTGGACTAGGTGATCTCCTGACATTCCTTCTGACTTGAATTATATTAGACCCTATGACTTCAATTTCTCAGGGTGTAGGACAACTTCTGCCTGACAAGTGTCCTGCTACATACACAGGTGAAACAGACCTCTGCCTAGCCGTGCTGGTACAATAAAGACATAGATGTGTCCATGACTATTTATGTTTGCTGAAGTCACTGCCAAAACAGAACTTCTGTTGTGATTCAGGTCTCCTGAATATTTCCCTGTGTTTTCTCTGGAATGCTGGCTCTCAGCCCAAACTGACATTAAGAATCTTCATCAAAATGCTTGGACTTCACTATTTATTGCATCAAAATTGCAGGAAAAAAATGCAATGTGTGACCAGCTCATCTTGAAAGGGGTTGTAGATCAACTAAAAAATCTGTTTGGATTCACTCATAAAAGAGATACGTGTATAAACTAATACAAACATTTTAGGTTGGAATTTTATGTTTCTAGTGAAATCCTAAACCTCATTTGTGTTATGTCTTCCTGTGCTTCACTATGACCATTTCATCCAAATCATAGGTTTCAATATATGAAAGCCTTTACCGTATTTCAGCTTGGCTACATGGCAGAAGAAGAAGAGAAAAAAATGCCTTTTTTTGACTAGAATTATCTGCTTAGAAGAATGCTACACATACTAACACCTTGAAGAGGTTTTACCAATGATTTGTTTTAGGATATCTTGTGCTCAATGAGGAATTTGCTGGCATGGAAGGTAAGGATTACAACTTGTTAGACCTTACAGCAGCCAAAAGAATACCAGACTGATCCTATTTTCTTTAACAGGACTGTCAAATATTCACATGACATTAATATCATGAATCAAAGACTGTAAAGATCATACATTACATTTATAGTTACTTGTCTATCACCAAGTTCAGAATTCCTGGAGAGTGGCCATGTACAAGAAGCTGGCCTGGAAATCCTGAATTAAAGATGGATGGATCAGAATGGCTGGTGTTTATCTGATTTAACAATCTATCCCAGCTATTTGAGAAGCACATTACCACCTCTGCATTTAAGCACTGGAAATTTTAAAAAGAAAACCAATGAGGAATATTTTGCAATATAAATATATGAACCTTGGTAAAAAGAAAGGATTGAGAACTTAGTGAGTAATACATTCTTCAGGTCTATCTACAACTCTCTGTATATAAAGGAAATCAGAAACAGATCTGAATAAAGTGAGATGGTAATCTCAAACCTAATAATCTTTACTTTACATTTGTTTCTTTTTCTCTCTGTAAGTTATACACAGTCACAGAATTTGCATTACCATCCATTGTACTACAAATAAGTTTATTAACACAGTCAGACCCAGTCTAGCATAGATAAACTGAATTCTGCCTACTGCCACTTGCCTGGCTTAGTGCAATAACAGTTCTTTGGTTTCTTCTCTTAGAAGGATCTCTTCATCTGAAAAAAAAAACCCTCGTAATTTCTACTGATTGAAATGAGGTTTATCAAATGACTTTAAGTTTACAGATTTATTTCTGTTGTGTTGGCTGTGCTTAGACTGTCCCTTAAGCTACACCATTTCTATTTCATTTGTAACTCAGTACTAACTTCTACTACAAATCAGAGGGAAAATAAAGATATTTCAAAGTTTTATGAGCAATATCACTGTAGATATTGGTAAAACCATGCATTTTCATTAATGTTTTGATAATAATAACTAAAATATAAATATGCAACATTTGTAGAAAAAAAAAACAATGGTTAAAATATTGCTCCACAAGACTTGCTAATTATGTGCTTTCAAGTATTTTAGGAAAGCAATTTCCAGCAATATAATGAAACAAAAATAACTGTGATGAAAACTTCAAATATCCTTGACAATATTTATTTATTCTGGCATTCAGAACTTCCAGATGGTTCTTGTCTTAAGCTGAAGTTCAAATAGAGATGTTAAACTACTTAATTTTTAAATAGGTTATATTTTCTAGCAAGACACATTTTCAACATTTATTTTCAACAAAAAACAATCTCAGAAAATCATTGCCAGGGCTCATTTGACATTTCAAAATGATGGAACTACAAAGATACCATTTATCTGAACTATGTTGTCATTTGTGAAATCAGTAGCTAAAACTTAAGTTCTTGAAATACAAACTATCGTGCACGTGGGTTGGCATCCTGCTCAATGCTACACTGCTCCATGCTCCTAGCATCTAAAGGGATGTAAGATTATCTATCCTACTCTCATTTTATAGTGTTAGCTCCAATAAAAAGCATTTTAAATAACAGAGAGTCTGAGTGCCTTACTTACTGGGATCATAACCGACCAGCAAAGCTTTCGATAGTCACCGTGTTTGCAGAGGTGGTGAGCAGGCATGGCCAGCGCACTCCGACACTCCCCTCTAGTGGTTTCATTGCAGAACAACGGCAGACAGATTCTCCCCTGTGCGCAGTTTGGTTTAAGGATAGTCTTCTCCTGATGCAAAAGCTGCCACAAATAGAGTAGTTGGGAGCAGTGTAGCAGAGAACCTGCCTGACCTCAGGCTCTCACCTGGGAGTTTGGTGGCAGCAGCTGATGTCTTTCTACCCCTCCCCTTCCCACAGCAGAGTGATGCACTGGACTGCCACAAGAAATTCCCAGGGCTCTAGTATATGGCCATGTTACCACAGCACAGCAAGTGATCAGTCCTCCACTGGGTTGCTGTAACCATTTGTTTCTGCATTTTTAGCCTGCAGAAAGTGCTATTCTGTCCTGCATAGAGCCCCATGGACAAAGGATGTTGATCTTGTCTTGTAACTCCACATTGACACAAGCAAGCATATATATCAAAAGAGGCCTTCCAGTGTGAGCTTCTTGTGTGCTGTCCCTGTGGTGCTGGTACTCCAAGCTTTCTGCTACTTATGAGATTAACTGGACAATTGGATCAAAAATCTGATCCAGTTACAACTGCTCTTTTAAAAAAATATTATTATTCTGCTGCATTAGTTTTAACTAGGTCACTGTTTTTTTCCTCCCACCCTTTGCCTATTCTCACCTGTTCTAGGTGCAAACTCTTATTCAAGTAACACACACGTGTGTTCATGTGGTTTAGTGAGACTCAGACCTCAGCTGAGCCTGGATTAGCAAAATCAAAAAGCAACATCTGATTTTCTCCAGAATTCTTGGTAATTAAAAGACTAAAAATTGTCATAAGTTTTGTAGTAGTTCAGTAGCTTCAGAAGTACTGAGTGCCCTCAATTTGCTGAGAGTGCTGAAGAGGCAACAGCTGTGGGTCTGGTGAAATGCTGGAGAGCAGTAAGCAAGCTACTGAGCTTTGCACCCATGCCATCCCCTAACTCTGTAGTCTCTCTCCATTTCTTTCACAGGGTCTCCCAAATATTAGAAGTTTGAGAGAATTCCAAAGAAAGAGGCCTTGGGCTAAAAGAATAGTAAGCATAAAATAAAATAATAAAAAAAAAAAGAAGTAGTGACATATTTGTTGTTAAAGATCTGAAAGGTTAATGTTAGGTGGTTAATCTTTGATGACAGTTTAACTCAACTGCAGCAGAAGGAGGAGTTACATAGTTTAAAGGAACAGAGCTGGGAGGCAGTATGAAAGCATGACAGATCAGAGAAAGAGTTTTGTAAAAAGGTAATTAGGGACATTGAAAACTATAGCTAAGTACTTTAAGTAGAAGCTAACTGCTTCTGATGTTATACACAAACTCACAGAAACCTCAAAAATGCAAATGGTATTAATTGGTAAGGTGGCAGATAGTCTTCACTAGACTCTCAAGTTACTGCAAATGCTGAACAAATTTATGCTTTTATAGATGAATTCCTTAGGTCCCCTCTAGTTCATGGGGCATCATAGGAAGGCTTGTTCTGTTGCTGTACTTTGGGTTTGATCTGCAGCACTAAATAAGATTAAATATTTAATTAATTTCAAAAATGTTAGAAAATCTATCAAAACTTGAAACTAAAAGTATCATGTATACTCCCTGCAGGATGTATGAAGACTTTCATCTGGAATATGTCACAGACTTGAAGAATAAATATTTCTCTTTAAAAATATGCACTATTGTCTGGTTAGAGAATTGACCGGTACATGAGCTGTTGTGGAAGAAAATCAACATTCCAGGATTTTCATCACGTAAAGCAATCTGTAATTTTTCTTCTTCTAAAGAGAAGGTGGAAAGAATGATGACATCTGGAATTTTGTGAGGAGAATACTCACAGCTAGAAAACTAATGGGTTACAGTGATTACCTCTCTAGCTGAAAATGCTGTTGGTCTTAATAATTTGATATAACATATGACTGAAAACCCCTAAAGAGACTGGATAAAAAAAAATGAACTCACAGTTCCTAGAGAAGCCAACAGGAACATCACTTTCAAAGTGATCCAGGTTAACCTTTAGAAAATCCTAGCCTAAGTACATAACTTAAAATATTTCTGCATCAAGGGGTTTCCTTGAATAAATCATTGGGTTTCTGTTACTATAATGCAGGATGTCAATGCTGTAGTTGTTCAAAGGGCATTCAGCAAGTCTAAGAATGTGAGAATGAATTTCATTTTGATAGGATGACTGCCTGAGAGGCTTAAGAAGAGCTGGTCCCAGTTCAGCACAGAATAATTTGAGTTTTCTGTTTGGGAAGAAACTGAGCAGAACATCACTGGTGTTCTCAAACGCCTCCCATCTTTCAGTCCTCCCACACAGGCAGAAATGTTATAGATGTCTGCAGTGCTTAGGAACAGCAAACTTGGCTGCTCTTAAGATCTACTGTGGAGGATGTGGGTGTCAGTTACAGATGGCAGCTGAGGGACATTTCTGTTCTTACCTGCGACATGCTCTTGTGATCCACTGGTCACTCCACTGGTTGTAGCAGGATTCAATTAAAATCTGCATTTTGCTTTAATGGGTTTTTCCTCACCTTCTCACTTCTCACTGCATTACTAATTTATGTTTTCAGAATTCTTGAATTATTTTCTGTCTATATTTTTATGCACATTAGCATTGCACATTTATTGTCATTGCAGACACCCTTTCTCACCCCTTCCCCCCTCCCAAAAGACACCCTCATAGCCTATAATTGCTTCCACATTTCTAGGGTCTCATGCAATCAGGAATTCCTAAGAGACCACTGAGAACTCACTGAGACAGGGGGTCTCTTGGCCTTTTGTAACTGAAGGATCATTTAGCGGTTTGGATCATCTCTTTGGACCAGCCCCAAAATGAAACAGAGGTCCAAACTATTTCCCTTCTTCAAGTCATGATCATTACTGCATATATCAGGCTAGAGAAATGTTTGCCTAACCTGTTTTTAATGACCTTCAGTAGTGGAGTCTCTACCCGTTCCTTTGTGGTGTTATGTAGTACAACGCTTCAGTACCGTCCCCTGTTAAAAAGTTTTCTCTATGGTCCCACCTCCTTCTATGTTGCTACAATTTCACCTCAGTACTTCTGCCAGCTACACAAAGAACAGTTAGGATGTTCTATATACTTTTTACATGCTTGAAGTCTTTAGGATCCTGGCTTCTGCCAGTTACTATGTATCAAGACGCTTTACACAAACCTATTCTCACATTTCTTTACAGGGAAAAAGGATCATCCTAGTTTCAGCAACATAATACAGGAATAAAGAGTGATTAAAGAAAATGCATAAGTCTAAGTAGAACAGATATTTCAGGAATAGGAATGAGCACTTTCTCCTTGGATCTTTGGATGCAAAGAAGTGATCTCAAGTGTAGCCCAGGATCATAATCGAGACCACTGTCATACTGAAATTAAAATAAATGTCACTTTTCCAGAAAGAAGTGGAAAACAGCCTTTGTTTAACATCCCAGTCTTTCTGCTGATGGAGGCTTGTCTCAACGAGCTTTTTAAATCTGTGCCTCAAGTGGAGTGAACTTGGTAAATGTCCAGTTTGGCATAATGCCCTTTCGTAGACTGTTTTGTGACTGACTAGTTGTCAGAACTAGTCTAGTGGGAGAAACTGAGGATTTTCAGATGCTACTGAATCTGAAAAGATTTCTCTGCCATTCAGGATTCTCTATTCTTTGGTACATTACTTTCTCTGCTGAAGTCAGACATGCCTTCCTTCTGTCAGAAAACAGTGGGGAGCCAGCAACTTCTTTTCCTGTCATGTTTAGCATCCAAACAAAGATCAATCTACCATTTGCACTGTAGCTTTGACACAAGGAACAGTGGCTTGAATGCTGACAGAGAAGAAGAGACAGAAAAGAAAACTGTTTTGAATTTGAAACCCAAATACCTGATCTGGCTTACCTGTTGGGATAAAATAACGTATCCTTTTGTAGCCACATGCAGCTATCACCTTATTTAGGACTCAGCCTCACTTTGACTGAAATCCCTGGCACATGTCTTTGCTTTTTCCAATGATATGCTAGTCCCAGAATGGAGAACTTGAGAACACACTGCAAAGGTATATGTGGGCATAATAAGACAGTAAGATGATTTTTATTTTCCATTATTTCACTTTTGTATTGCCTAGGGCTACTAACTAATTAGCTTTTTCTTCTGTCTTTTGATATCTCTCTCCCTTCAGAGAGCACACTCCAGAGTGCTATCCTTAACAGCTTCTAGTGCAGCCTGGTTATCAAGAAGTGTCAGTATGATTCTGCCATGAAGTATTTCATTGCTCTGCTCTGACAAATATTAGTTAGGAGTTCAGGTGTGTCTTCTCATCTTGCACTTCCCTCCAGACCACTCAATTGTCTTATAATGTAATTCCTATTTAATAATCTCTTAGGTTTTAAACTTCCAAAACCAGGGGATTCTTAAAAGCATAAATAGCAGCCAGAAGCCTGATGCTCACTGAGTCTCCCCATGCTTTACTGCCACTTACTTCTTGGAAAAATCTCTATTTTTTGTGTAAGTATGTGTACAGTGAGTAAGAAAAGGAAACACTCATCATCCTGACACAGGCTATCAGACCCCTGACCATACCCCTCTCTCCTGGAAGCTATGCTGCCTGGTCTCAGGGCCAACACTGATAGTGCAGCTCTCCAGCGTTGAAGCTACGTGAGGGAGAGCTGCCTGAGCAGCCCTTGCAGGGGCTCTCTACCTTTTTCTAGCAGCTGCTTTTAGGCTGGGCTCTCACACTTGCTTTCTGCCAGAGCTACATTGCACCTATGCCCATACCTGGCCAGGTATCCTGTTGATCTGAATCCTGACTGTGACACATAGATTTGACTTCCTGGCTTGACCTCAGACTTGTCTCATCACCATGGACTTGTCTGTCAATCCCTACTTTTGGCTGACATGGTTTACTATCTCCAGACCTGTCATGCTTGCCCTCTTCAGGCACTGTGGACCTGGGCCCTGTTTGGGGTGACACTGCTCTTCCTGTCTTGCTGTCAGCCTGGATCTCCTTCCCTTCTGGAGCACTCTGTCCTTGCTGCTCTCTGACAAGGACACCTCAGCTGTAATGCTGCAGCAAAAAAAAAAAAAAAGACAAAAAAAAAAGTTCAGGAGGAAAATGTAAATGCTTTGCTCAAAACCTCATAGAGATACCTCTCTACAGCACCTTTTGCTAAACTGTTTCAAATTCCAAGTAAGAATTACTCTAAAGAAGTTGGTTTTACAGTAAGTAGGTAATTATCAGGACAGAATTCTATGCATAGTTAACTTCAAACACAGACGTTATAAATATCTTGGGATTTTCTGGGGTTTCTACAGTATTTTTAAACGAACAGTGTTATCACTGATTTAGTTTGTTTTCCAGGCACACTCCTACTTCAAAATATCTGCTTCAGACTGGCTGTGGTTTTAGAGATTTTTATAAGATTTATACAGTCATTTTAATTTCTTAACAGTGATATCTTTTTGTTAATGTTTGACCACCAATTGTTGCATTGGTTCATGATATCACTCTTTCCCTAGTCATAAAAAAGACTAGGTGTGTCCTTTCCTCATGCCCCAGGAGCTTATCCCATTAATAGGAGATGACTTTTAATTTGTATATATTTTGTTCTCTGTACTTCAGTGGGAATAAAAAATCGCTCCTTATTAGTGCCTTCTTTATATCCCATGGAAGCTGGATAAGCAGCTCCATACTTGATGGGAAAGTTTAGAGATGCAACTAATTCATTTGGAAGAATGATACACAAAATCCTTAGCCCTTCAAGCATGAAGCAGGACAAATCTCCTACCGTTGTCAAGACAACAGGGGATTAAAGAGCCAGGCTACCTGCAGAAAGGGTAGAGAAACTAGACAGGTTGTATAGGCAAAACCAGGAAAGAAATTGCTCTTCTCCCAACTCCTGGAGAAAGTGCTGCTTCCCAGGGATCATGAGGCTTATTCACTTTTCTTTTTGTGAATAAACACTTGGGTTGTGAGGACTGATTTCTACGGACCCTGAAATGAGACTGATGTTAGTACCTTCCACATTTAAGGAGAGAAGGGGTGCATGAGAACCTGAATGTCCAGGGAACTGGTGTACTTCTGTGCTGGTGAGAAAGGATTGCCATTTTAAATGGTGGCTTGTGACAAACTCATTAACACATTGAGTGACTCATGAGGACTGTTATAGAATATCTTAGGCAGTTTTTTTCCCTTTACATTTGAGCAGAAGGATGCTTTTCATCTCTGGCTCGGCTATTTCTGATACTAGCTAGGGCATGTTTCAAGGCATTCTCCGTGCTTCATGCAGGGCTTATGAAAAGACTATTTTTACCACATGACTATTAGAAAGTCTCTCCAGTCCTCCTGCCTCCCTCAGGGTCAAATTCTCCCCTGAAACTGTGCTCTGATTATGTAAGAGATATAAATTGAAATTCCACTGGGGAGCTGTGGCTAGCATAAAGGTGAAGAGAAGATTAACTGTGTGGCTTTAGTTAAACACAAGTGGACCATTCTCTTAAATAACTCAGTGGTTATTTTTGTTCCCTCTGATGTACCAGTGGTTCGATAAATACCCAGCACATAAGTTTGTTTCTTGAACGAACTTACACCCTGTTCTCTTTCAAAAAAACACCACAAATCTAACAGAGTTATTGAGCTTTTGCGAAACAGCTACATCACTGTGTATTATGACTAGGATATATTTAAAATCTCATCTTTCTGGTCCCACAGAGAGGATTCTCTTCTCTCTTAAAAGCAGTCTGAGATCACTTTCACTTCCAACCATGGAATGAACATGACCTATCATTAGCAGCACCATTTCACTGCATTACTCTATGTTCACAGCATGTAGCCAGTGGGCCAGACTCCGACTTTCTCAAGAAGCAATATTTCTCATTTCATTCTTGTGTGCTTGGGAGGCACTTCTGTTTAAAAAAGAACTTATGATGTGTAAAAGAATCATATTATATACTCACACAATATATGGAGCATTGCAATATATGTATTGTAACTACGCACAGAAACCTGGGTTAACCAGCTTTGGTAAATCTGCCCAAGTAAAACTTTGGGGGTATAGATGTTAAGGCCTGGGAAGAAGAGGGAAAGAAAATTTATTTCAGAGTTGCCTGGACTTATGACCAATAGGACTGTGTGGAGGAGCCAGTCCTACAGGCTATATGCGTTCTAAAAGAATTTAAATAGCCACAATGTTTGTTGTTAAAGGAGCAAGGAGCAGAGCAGGAGTATCCAGGACAACAAGAAAAGTAAAGAGTAGCAGGCAGGATCAAAGACCAGAACTGTGAAGACAAACGTTTACAAGTGCCTGGCATCACACAGTGAGGAAGTGCTTGTACCTCTGTGTTGAACAAGTGTGTTTCACTGGATTTCTGGCCTGAAAGTGATCTTGATGGGATGCAGACAGACTCCAACTTCCAGACTGCTATGCTGTCCTCTTTTTCCTAACTGGAAACCCTGATTGCTAG